ACTCAAAAAAAAAAAAAAGGATTTCAGGTTTCAGTACTCATGAGCGTATATTCTAAAACAGAAAGCAGAGAAGACAGCATTTTAACAGATCATACTAAAACATGTGCTGCCGAAGGAGTCAGCTGGTGGGATGTGCCACCAAGTACTGGGCTCAGTGAATGACGGGCCCCAGGGAAGGGTCCGTTGCCAGAGTTCACGGTTAAGCGGGAGCCTGGCAGGGCTATGGTGAAGGTGGAGGGGCCCACAGGTCATAATCCAAGGAGAAGATAGGACGATGTCAGGTGACTCACCACGACTCAGAAGACAAGGGAAGACAACTTCAGGGTTCTGGAAGAAAAGTCTCTAATGGGAACCAGCGCTTCCCAGCTATGGGAGCAGTAGGAAAAACATTCCAGACAGTGGAAAGATGCCACAGACTCAGGAGGGCGCCAGGGCCAGGGAAGTCGGGGAGCGGGAGGAAGGGTCAGCCAAGCCTCTAGCCCCGAGAACCGAGCAATGTGGCCCCAGGATACGCCCGGTGAGGCCTGCAGAGCACCCAGCCCTCAGGAGAGGGAGGACAGGGTGTCTGGGAAAACATGGTGCTCCCTGCTGAGTGCACATGGTGTTTTCTCCAGGACCCAGAGGAACACTGGAGAGCTTGGGGAGAATGAACAGGGAGCCAGGCTGGCGGGTGGGGAAAATCATTAACAGAGGCAGGGAGGCCCAGCCAGGCAGCTGGAGGAGTGCAGGGCAGGTTCCCGTCCTCCAGGTAGGAAGGGTGGGGAGTCCCCTGAGCAGGCGATCCCAGCCGAGCGGGCTGGGCCTTCTTTAGAAACTGGGGGTGGGTGGCTGAAGAGCTGGAGTGACAGCCTCTGGGAACAGGGCCGCCCCAGGAGGGCATGCCATGATAAGCCTTTGGTGCTTGTTGACTTTGGTAACTGTGTTCCCTTACATTCATTAATAAGACTAAAACCCAGAAGGCAAAGAAGAGATAGGGTGCCTGCCGGGGCCCCACTCCCGAGAGCTGGCTCCTGCCAAGAGGTGGCAGCTGCCCACACCCCTCGGGTGGCACCCACTCTGCTCTGGGCCCCAGTCCCAGTCCAGTGGCACCCGGGCCGTGGGTGTGGCTGCCTCGCTGGGAGCAGAGGTCATACCCGGCAGTGACTCGCCTGACAGGTTCCTGGTTGAGCACCTTCCAGCCCTGGGGCAGACTTTGACCTCTCCTGGGAGAGGCCGCTGCCAGCCTAGGGGAGAGGGAGCCTGGGGGTGGGGTGAAAGCCACCCACCAGGTCTGGAGCTCTGGTGGGAGGAAGCGGTCGGGAGGAGTCAGGCCTGGAGGAGTCAGGCCGGGAGGAGTCAGGCCGGGACAGGAAGAGGCAGCCTGGGGCCCTGACTGGGAGGAGGGAGGCTGCAGGAGAGAGGGAAGATGGGGCGGGGTGGCCGGGCTCTGTGCATGGGGGCTGTGGGCTCTTGAGGGCCTTTGTTTGGTGGGAGACCAGGCACAGTCAAGGCACGGGCATGTCCACAGTCAAGGCACGGGCATGTCAGTGCCGCCTGCACTTTGCAGCAACGTCAGCTGCCCTCAGGAAACAGATCACGTTCAGGAAAAAAAGGCCTTCCCGGATTGCACCTTCTGCTTGGCGTGTGCATGAGTAGAACTTGTGGGTGCCATGCGGACACGTCACCTTGGGGGCGTGATCTTGGGATGGGCAGACCTGCTAGGCCCAGCCAGGATCACAGGCACCCGCCCCGGGGGAGGCCAGGTGGCGGCTGTTGTCATCAGCTAGTGATTCGGAATGTCCTAAGGAATGCGCCCTCCAGGTCAGCGTGGGAGCAGCCCAAGCCCCAGGGCGGAGAACTTGTGTCCTGGGAGGGCTTGGTGGCTTCTGGGACTGAGCGGGTACGTAGGGCCAGGTATCCTGGGTGCCCTGCAGTGGCCCAGACCATGTTGATAGAGGTCAGTCATGTGGCTGGCCCTGCATGGCCTCCCTGCAGGGAGTAACTTACAGTCTTGATGTCACATCTGAGAAATAGACTTCCACCCTAGCTAGGCCCTCCTAGTTTTGACATATGCAAAGTTCTGGGTGTGTGAGAGGCATGCTGAATGGTGGCTGGCCTTGTCTTTATAAAACTTAAAGAAAAAATTACTGAAGGAGTAAGTTTCTCCATGTTGCATTTTGGGTGTGTTTTTGTTGTTTTAGAGATGGGGTCTTGCTGTGTTGCCCAGGCTGTAGTGCAATGGCACAATCATAGTTCTCTGCAGGCTCAACTTCCTGAGCTCAAGCGATCTTCCCACCTCAGCCTCCTAAGTAGCCAGGGTCACAGGTGCATGCTACCACACTCGGCCCACGTTACGTTTTGATCCTACAAAGTTCTCCTATGCTTTGGCGGCTGTCCTGCTTGTTGATTTGGTGTCAGTGCAGCATTGACGTAGGGCCCGTGACTGGCCAGGCCCCATTTTGTACACTTTGCACGCCTGAACTCATTGATGCTTCTCTGTAACCCTCACAGACCCCGCCTCTGCCCTTTCCAGGAGGACACTCTGGCCACCCAGCATGTCCCAGCGGCACTCGGACAGCTCCCTGGAGGAGAAGCTTCTGGAATACCGCTTCCACTCAGAGCTCCGGCTGGACGCCAATGGGAACCCAGCCTCCGGGCTCCCGATGGTCCGGGGCTCCCTGCGGGCCAGGGCCAATGCCACCTTCCAGCCCGAGGCCCCAATGCCCACGGGGGCAGGGGAGCCGCAGCCCGTCATTCTGAGCACGCAGAGCCCCGCCGCGCTCAAGCTGGGCACCCAGCAGCTCATCCCCCGGAGCCTGGCTGTGGCCAGCAAGGCGAAGGCCCCAGCCCGCCACCAGAGCTTTGGGGCGGCCATGCTCAGCAAGGAGGCCGCCCGGCGTGACCCCCGGCTCCTCCAGGCCCCCAGCTTTTCCCTGGATGACCTGGACGTGGACACAGGCCCCGGGGGGATGCTGCGGAGGAACCTGCGGAACCAGTCCTACCGGGCGGCCATGAAGGGCCTGGGGGGGCCCAGCCACAGGGACCCCATCCAGCTCAGTCCCAAGCTGCAGGCCCTGGCCGAGGAGCCCAGCCCACCACCTGCCCGCTGCCCAGCCAAAAACAAGGTAGGGGCCCGTCCGGAAATGGGGAGGGGCTAGGGGGCAGGGTGGCCTGACCATTCCTGTCACTGTCATCTGCTGCATCATGGAGCTGCACTCAGTGAGCACCTGCTACGTGCAGCGTTTGACTGGTTCATTCCAGCTGAGCCCAGCGGCCAGCCATGGATATGACAATTCCCCTGTATGGACCAGATAGCTGAGGCTTAGAGGTGGTGGGGGAAGGAATCCTACCTGGGCCCTGGACCCTGGGCCCTGGGCCCTGGACCCTGGACCCTGGACTCTGGACTCTGGCATTCTCCTCCCAGCCAGGGTGGTGGGCAGAGCCTCGGGGCAGGGGACTGCATCTCTTGAGCCCTAGGCAGAAGCCATCCTGTCCGAATGATGGGTTCAATCATGAACTTGAACTTGCAGTGAATGGCCTGGACTCAGTCTGCCCTGAGGGTACCGCCTGTCCCAATGCTGGCCATCCAGCAACCTTCTGGAGGCCGAGAGTGGCTGAGGCAGCCTCCCCCTGTCCCCAGTCCTTGGCGCCAGACACTGTCCTTTGTCATGCTCTCCCCTGCCATCCCTACCAAGACCCCAGAAATGCCTCAGGCCCCCTGCTGCGGGTCCCTGCACCCCGGGCTGGAACAGCCCAGCACTCGGTGCCCACCCAGGGGTCCCTCACCCATTCAATCATCCATCCAGTCATTCATTCCTAGTGATTCACACATCCGACATTTCCTGAAGTCCTGCTGGGTCTGGGGTACCAGGCTGAGCCCGGTGGGCACAGCCCTATCCCCCATGAGCTTCCAGGGCAGTGGGGGTGCCGAGGGCTGGGCTGGGGCAACTCGGGGTTGTGGAATCTGGGGGTGAAGGCCTTGGAGCCAGGGGAGGGTCCAGAGCAGAGACACAAAGGACAGGAGGACAGGGAGGAGCTGGAACAGCTCAGCCAGACCTGGGGGGGCCGGCCAGTGGGGGGCACGAGGGAGAGCACAGAGCGAGGGTGCCAGGCCAGGTGCCCGGGAGCCCTGCGTGTTCCAGCAAGGGGTGCGTTCAGGCCCCAACGTGTTCGAGAAACCAGCCCCTGCTTTCCGGGAACCAGCGCACCTGCTGGTCAGGAAGAGGGGCTTGTCCCAGCCAAGAGGGGTGGGCTCTGCGCTGGACAGCAGGGGTGGAAGCTCCCCAGGGGCCCTCCTCAGCCCTCTGCCACTACACCTGCCCTCCCTTGGGCTTCCCTCCAGGCCTGCTGGTAACTCCCGAGCATCCCCTCTCGACTCAGTCAACCCTTCTTCCACCTTCAGGCAGCCCTCCTGGACCTGCCCACCCCATCCCCTGCCCTGCTGGTCTGAGTCCCCAGCCCACCTGCCCTGGCTTCCGATTAGCAGCCCTGAGACTCTCCTGGAGCTGACATTTACTGCAGGCCCATGTGCCTCCTTTCATTGGCACAGGGAGACGGGAGGTCTCTGCCCCTCCCCTAGAGCCGAGTCCCTGTAGCCCACACCTGCCCCTCCCACTGACAGCTGGTGTTTCTGTCTCTCGTCTTCCAGAGGACGCTGGGGCGGAAACGTGCACACAAGGGCTCCTTCAAGGATGGTGAGTGCTACAGGGCCTGACCTGGTGAGTCTGGTCACACCGGGGCGTCCTGGGGGATCTCGATGCGGTGACTCCGAGGACGTGCTCAAGGGGGTCCTTCTGGGACTCAGGCTCTGAGGCCTAGGGCTAGCCTGGCCATGCAGCTCTGGTAGATCTAGAAGGGTCTAGAAGGTTCCCTGGGCTCCCTTTTGGGTGGGCCCACGGGGAAGGAACAGACTGAGCCCCACCTGCCCCGAGCACCCGAATGTGTGCCAACCCAGCCTGTGGTGGTCCTGCTGCTGGGGGGACCGAGGCCAGATCAGCGGGGCGCTCTGCCTGGAATTCCCTAGGTGGAAGGGAAGCTTTGTGTGGGAGACCGTGCGTGTGGGTGACAACATCACTTAGCCTGCCGAGGGGGATGCCAGCAGTACCCCTGGTAAGGCTGAGGGGGCGGTACAGGCGCTCTAGGGGTGTGAAAAGGTGGAAAGCAGTGAGACTGAGGAGACCAGGGCTCTGAATACCCAACCTTGAGCCTGGTTTCTGTTGAGAGGCACCAAGAGCTTTTTGGGTGGCCTCGAGTCCAGGACAGGGGATCCAGACCTCCTCGACAAAAGTCTTAGGGAAGAGCATCCCCAAAGAGAGTAGCAGGGATGCCCCACCATCTCGGGGGTGGTTGGTGGGGGCCAGGGTCTGCCGTGAGGGCTCAGAGGCACCCTGAACTGGGCCCAGCCGATCCCAGGTCGTTCTGCGCATAGGGGGCTCTTTGGACTGGCACACAGCAGCCTCAGCCTCAGCCTAGCCTGGGGACAGCCCCGCTCACGGCCTCCTCCCCAACCAGGCTCAGCCGACCTGCGGGGCGCCACTTTGCCAGCACGGCCTGGTGTGAAGGTGCCACATTCTGCCCTGGCCTCACAGGCACAGGAGCCCGCCCCCCTGGGAGGAGCCTGCCCTGGAGGTCCTGCACTGTCCGACATACTGGGGGACCCTGGGGAGGGTCAGCCTGTGGGTTCCAGGAGGCCAGGTCTCCTCCAAGCCCCAGGCCTGCAGTGACTCTCCTTCTCTCCCTAGACCCCCGATTCTACCAGGAGATCCGGGAGCGGGGCCTGAACACTAGCCACGAGTCTGATGATGACCTGCTAGATGACCCCTCCAGCCCCGAAGGACCCCGAAAGGCAGACACCACCATCGTGGTCAAGAACTACCGGCCAGCCCAGGTCACCTGGAGCCAGCTCCCAGAGGTAGGCCTGGGGGGCGGGGAAGGCTGGCCCAGAGAGGTTGAGCAGGGCCCCAAGAGGTCCCTGGCCAGGCATTCCCCAGCTGTGGCGGCCAGGCCCCGCCTGGCTGGCTTGGCACCTTGGGGTGGTCACTGGGGAGAGAGGGTGGTCAGGCACACAGGTTTGTCTTTAGCCATTGTGTGGGGGGAGGGGCATTCCTGCTCAGACTGAGCTACTGGGAGCTGTGGACACAAGGGACCCCCTTTCTGGGGTCCTGTCCCCAGGACAGGGCTGGGATCTCCAACATCCTGGATGTCCTGGGCACCAGTCAGAGGTGAGGGCGCCGCAGCCCTCCCCCACCCCGGGGCCCTGCCAGGAAGGCCACTGTACCCGGTGGGCCCTGGGGAGGTCTGCGTGAGAAGGCACCTGGGAGGGGAGGGGATGGGCTTGGAGCCAGGGCTGGGACCAAGCCACACCCTCACTTTCCACATCTGAAAATGGGGCCTGTCCCTGCCCCGCAGGGCCGTGGTGGTCTCAGCGGGGAGCAAGTCCAGGCAACAGCCCAGGGCATGGGGGGAGGCGACTGCTGCCACCCAGGCAGGCACGCTGGCCTCAAGTGGACCCGTGACCGTGTCCCCTGAGGGCCAAGGGCAGGGACTGGGCTGAGGCCGTGGGTGTGGGGCCGCAGGGAGGGTGGGCCTGGTTCTGCTCCATCTACAGTACAATGGGGCTCCTTGTTTGCTCCCCTGAGGGGGACGAGGGGCTGTGACCCTGACTGCCCACCAAACTCCATGCTGCTGCATGCACGGGACTCCGGCCAGGGCAGGCCCAGCATGGGGAGAGGGTAGGCGGGGCTGCCTCCCCACAGATGAAAAGTTCTGGAAGTTCACTTCATTCTCATGCCCTGGGGGTGGGGGAGTGTGATCCCCCCTGGACTGGGGTGGGGTCACAGTGCCAGAGACTCTGACCCAGCCGGTCCAAGTTTGGAAAGGAGGTGTGGTGGGCGGAGTCACCCGCGGGCCCAGGCACTGCAGACGGTCTCTGCCAGCCCAGAGAAGAGAGCTTAAAGCAGGTGTCCCGGGTCCCTCAGAGTGGGCACCCAGCAGCATGCAGTCCCATCTGTCCTGGCACACTGTGGCACACTCCCACCGAGGCAGCCGCTGGCTGTGCACCTTGAGGGGCAAAGCTCAGCAAGCAGCACCCCTGGCTGGCACAGCAGTACCTGTTCCTGCCAGGCAGGGCGCTGTCCCTGTGGCCTGGGGGGTGCTGAGCCACCGTCCTGCTCTCCACACCGTCCCTTGCTAGGTGGGCTCCATACCTCTCCGTCCCTGGGAGGATCTTTGGACAGTGGCCCCTCCGACCCCCTAGGCTTGCACCCTGGACATTCTGCACTTTCCTGGGCTGCCCCGGGGCTCCCTGGAGGGGTGGACCTGCCCTGGGGAGGTTTCTACAGGTGGGGAAGATGAGGCTGACAACCCCAGCAGGACAGGACAGCTCCATGGCCTGACCTCACCGAGCTGCACAAGGGGCCACGGGTATTCCATCGAGGGCTCTGCCCAGGCTCCCGCCTCTCTGGCCTCTGTCCACTTTGACTCTGGTCCGGTGGAAAAAGGATAGGAGAAAGCTGTGCCTTGGGCCTCTGGGACGTGTGACCTGGAACTCCCAGGCCTGTGTTCCTCAGGTAGTGGAGTCGGGCATCCTGGACCAGCTGTCCACGGAGGAGCGCAAGAGACAGGAGGTGAGGACCCTGACGGGGCACTACCCCAACCACAGGACACACGAACCCTGGGGGAGGGGACAACAGCCACAGTGATGGAGCCCCCACCCCCTCCCAGGGCCGCACACTCTCATGACCCCTGAGGACCCTGCCTCTACCCCTGCCCAGAACACCTGGGCCCTCAGCATTGCTGTATGAGTCCTCAGGCAGCCTTGGGCTGGGGCTGCCGTGATCCCTTGACCGGGATGGCGGTCCTGGCCCAGTTCACACAGCTCCTAAGTGGCCGCGCACCCCAGGGACATCAGGCTCCTGTCTCCAGCCTGGCCATCCTGACAACCCTCTCCAGGGGGTCTGCCCAGGACTCATGCTCTCGCCTGCCCCCTACTGCCCAGAGGGTGTCCTTATCTGAGCACTGGGCACCCAGACCCCTCACCGGCCCCTCTCTGCAGGCCATCTTCGAGATCCTCACGTCCGAGTTCTCCTACCACCACAGCCTGAGCGTTCTGGTGGCTGAGTTCCTGCAGTCCAAGGAGCTGCAGGCGACCGTGACCCCGACGGAGCACCACCACCTCTTCTCCAACATCCTGGACGTCCTGGGTGCCAGTCAGAGGTGAGGGCGCCACGGCCCTCCCCCACCCTGGGGCCCTGTCAGGGAAGCCACTGTGCCCAGTGGACTGTGTCTTGATGGAATAGTCTGGAGCAACCACTGGCTGGGACGGAGTGTGACAACCTCCCTGGGTCCTTGAGGCCACTGAGAGCTGGCCCCAGGAACGGACTGAGCATGGACAGTGGGCAGCCTGGACCCTCACAAGAGTCAGAGTGCTACCCAAGGGCACAGCCCTGCTCACTGCTGAGAGGGAGCCCACCAGGATGCCCAGGCACAGAGAACTGTATGACCCAGCTGGGCGGTGCCCCCAGGGTGCCCATCCGGCCTGGAGGCGGCCTCAAGTTGCAGTCCTGGGTCACATTACGCCCAGAGGTGTCTGGTGGCTGGACTTGAGCTCTGGTTGCAGGGCCTGGAGGTGGAGAAGGGGCCTGGGGGTGTGTGTGTGTGTGTGTGTGTGTGTGTGTGTGTGTGTGTGTGTGTGTGTGTGCCTATGTATAGGCGTGTGTGCATGCATGTGCCTGCACGTGTGTGTTGGTATGTGTGCATATGCATACATATACCCCGGAGGACCGGCCTCGGGGCATCATCCAGCCCTCCCAGCCTCACTGCTACCCTGACAGGGAGGTGCCTCGGGCCCCCATTGACTTGGGTGGGTTGATGTTGGTGATTGGGTCTTGCCGTGTCCAACAGAGGCTGGGCCCCGGCGGTGATGGCCTCTGGTTCTTCCTTCAGCCCCACCCCTTGCTCAGCCCGCCTCCCACACACTGCCTGTAGGACCCTTTCAGAAATTTCAGGGCCAGGGTGGGTGGGGATCAACTTGTCTCTGGAGACTGGGCTTCCTGAAGAGACACTCCAACCCCTGACCCAGCACAGGGCCGGTGAGGGGTCTGGATAGTGGCTGCTCCTTCCCCCAACTCCTGCTCACTCTGAGCAGGCTCTGTGTCCCCAGCATAGTCCCCTCTTCGTCCGCAGCTGCGTGTTTGCCCCTGACCTCTGCAGGGCTTCACCCTGGCGGTGGCCGTCCCGGGTGGGACCCTCCAGTCTCCTTCCCCAACTGGGCCTCTGCAGCTCTAAATGTTCACAGTAACCCCTTTGGGGAGTAAGCACGATTTTGTGTGGGAGACTGATGGCTACCCCCGGCCCAGACTTTTCTCAGAAACCCTCCATCGCCCGTGGGAGGTGCTGACGAGCTCACACATGCTCGGGTGGGACAGCCCTGTGACTGGCTCTGGAGTAGTTGCTCCTGACCTGCTGTTCCGTCAGCTGGGACTTCCCAAGGGCAAGTTGCTGTTGGGATGGTCCTCTACAGGAAGCGTGGCCCCTTGGGGGTGGAAGATCCAGCTGGGGCCCAGGGAGCAGGGGGGCCTGAGGGACCCCACCCACCTCCACACTAGGCAAGCGGCTCCGCAGCCGACAGAGCTCTGGGGGTGGGTGGGGCCCGGGCTTGGGCACTGTCAGGGCCTGGAGGCTCCAGCCACCATCTCACACACCGGGCAGCCACTGCAGGTCCAACTAAGCTCAGACACGGTGACCCTGGCTGCCTGTGGGAGCAGAACCCTGCCTGGCCCTGCCCAGCTCGGACCAGCATGAACTCACTGCATCCTCATCACCTGGGCCGAGGCCCACACTACAGAGGCAGTGAGGCTGGCAGTCACCTCCAGGGAGTCTGCCAAGAGCCGGGGCCCGGTCCCCAACCCTGGCCTTGACTGCCTGCTCAGAGTGGGCTGGGACTCAGGGGACGTGTTCATGAACCAGGCAGGGACCCTGGCTGGAATTTAGGAGACCTCTCTCATCCTCGTGGGTGTGCCCGGAGGCTGGTGTCTCATGCCTCCTCCCCCCACGGCACAATGTCTGCCCTGGAGCTCATTCCCAGGGCCAGTGCCACCAGTGGTCAGTGCCGCACCTAGGCCTCACTCAGGCCTCTTCCCTCCTGGCCCCCCCACTCTTCTGAATCTGAGGTCGGGGTCACACCCCTGAGTGCCTACCACAGGCTGCCTCTGGGAGCTTAACGCAGTTTCTGCCATGTGTGCACATGTGTGTGTATGTACATCTGTGTGTACACAGTGTGTGCGTGTGCACATGCACACCCCTGTATGTGCATATGTAAGTCTGCACGTGTGTGCATATGCACATCTGTGTGTGTGTGTACGCAGTGTGTGTGTGTGCACATGCACACCCCTGTATGTGCATATGTAAGTCTGCACGTGTGTGCATATGCACCTCTGTGTGTGTGTACGCAGTGTGTGCGTGTGCATATGCACACCCCTGTATGTGCATATGTGAGTAAGTCTGCACGTGTGTGCATATGCACATCTGTGTGTGTGTGTACGCACGTACACAGGTGTGGGCTGCCCCCCAGGCTCATGGCCCCACCCTCATACTGCATGCCTGCAGGTTCTTTGAGGCCCTGGAGCAGCGGCACAAGGCGCAGGTGCTCGTGGAAGACATCAGCGACATCCTGGAAGAGCACGCCGAGAGGCACTTCCACCCCTACGTGGCCTACTGCTCCAACGAGGTCTACCAGCAGCGCACGCTGCAGAGGCTGACGTGAGTGGCCTGTGCACGTTGCAGCCAACTTCGTGGGTTCTGCCTTGTTCTGTCTGGGCCGGCCGTGCGGGGCCCCGAGGGACAGCCCCGTCCTCTGTTGCAGAAGCAGCAACGCGGCCTTTCACGACGTCCTACGTGAGATCGAGAGGCGGCCGGCGTGCGGGGGGCTGCCCATGATTTCCTTCCTCATCCTCCCCATGCAGAGGGTGACCCGGCTGCCCCTCCTGATGGACGTGAGTATGCCGCAGGTTCTCACCTGGTCCTGGGATCCCCCACTGGAGTGCCCAGCCTCAGCGGAGTGCCACTCCCTGGTGACCTCTGTCACACTCTGCCTGTCCCTGCAATTGCCACAGTTAGGATGATGAGACGCTTTAGTAGCAAGACAGCTTGGGGTGCCATCATGGCTGCCATCCCAGAGTACACCTGCTGGGAGCTATTCCAACACTTCTGGTGTTGAGTTCACTACTCAGTGGTTCACGAGGTTCCCTCCTTTTGGGGAGTCCCCAAACGCTAGGCCTCTTGGCATGGTGGCCCTGGGAGGTGGCTCAGACACCTGTGGCTTTCCTGTTTCTCGGATGGAGAAGGGAGCTCAGAGGGGTTCACCAATGTGGCCTGTGTCTCTGAGATGCCAGCTCACGGTGTGCACGAGAGGGTAAAAGGCACACACATATGCATACATGCAGTGTACACAGATATGCACATGCACATATGCTTGCTTGCATGTGCTCAGCCAAGTACACATCCACACATATCCTCTTGCATATGCTCAGCCAAGTACACATCCACATAACCACGCAAATGGCAGGACCAAGCTAAGTAAGTGCCCAGAGACAGCATGTGGCAGTGCTCAGTGGGCCAGCTGCCCACGCTGGATGTACCTAGACCTCAGGAGCCCCGGGACATGCAGAAGTGGGGCTGCCAGGGGTCCTTCATTGATTCTTCCCAGGCTGGAGGGGGACAACCAAGGATGGCAAGGGATGGGGTCTTGGGGGTGCCCGCTCTTGTTCCCACTCAAGCCAGTCTGGCCTGGCCAAGCCCCAGGTGGTGCAGAGACCATTTGAGGGCTGGGTGGGAGCTGCCCAGGCAGGCCCCACAGCTGGGATGCAGGAGGGTGCCGGCGCCACATGTCTGCTGTCCTCTCTAGACACTGTGCCTCAAGACTCAGGGCCACCCTGAGAGGTACAAGGCCGCCAGCCGCGCACTCAAGGCCATCAGCAAGGTGAGGTCTGCCCCCACCCCACGGGCACAGGGGGTTCTTGGAGTATCCATTCCAAGCTCTGTGTGGCACTGATGGGGAAACTGAGGCCCAGAGCCAGGAGAGCGCTTGCTCAGTCGGTGAGCCCAAGGCATGGCTGGGACTATGACTGGCCTGGCACCACCCAAGGGCCAGCACAGTGGCAGCTAGGGGGGCTGGGTGGGAGCCGGGCACAGATGGTGGACCATGCCATGGCCCCTCGGTGTCCGCCTGCTCACGCATGCCCACCCCTGCAGCTAGTGAGGCAGTGCAACGAGGGAGCCCACACGATGGAGCGCACGGAGCAGTTGTACACATTGCACACGCAGCTGGACTTCGGCAAGGTCAAGGTAGGCGGCCCCCGGTGGTGCCATGCTGTCTCCGGCATGGGTGACTCTCCCACTGGATGCCCCAGGCCCCCCTAGACCATTCCCACCTGGCCCTCCCCACCATCCACATCTGAGGTCAGGGGTCACACTCCGAGCCTGAGGGCTGGAGAGGCCTCAGTGGGCGCCTGCTCTGAGGGGCCTGGGGGCGGGCCCTGGTGGAGCTGGTGCCTTTGGTCTCTCAGGCCTCCTTTTCCACATCTGGGAACATTTCCTGTGCACCCTCCCCAACTACGCTGGGTAGACGGGTCTCTCTGGCTCTTGCCTCCTCCCTAGGACCAGGCAGGCACAGGGCAGGCCCCAGGCCCTGAGTGACTGAGCCAAGGGCCAGCAGGCGGCAGGCTTGGTTCGTGGGAAAGGGCAGGCCCTGAGGACAGAGGGGACAAGGCCTGAGGACAGAGGAGATGGCCCCTGAGGACGGGGGAATGAGCCCTGAGGGCAGGGATATGGGTCCTGAGGACAGGGCATGGGGGCCCGAGGACAGGGGGTGTTGGGTCCTGAAGACAGGGTTGTTCCCTGAGGATGGGGTGGGGGGCAGAAATGGGGCCCAGGGACAGGGTGGATGGGACCCGAGGACAGGGGTCAGGGCCTGAGGACGAGGGGACAAGGAGGGGCCCTGAGGACAGGGGGATGGGGCAACTTCTGGGCCAGCTCAGATCAGGTTTCCGTGAGGCTTGGATTCTGGAGAGGAGAACATTTCCAGCCCAGGCTGGGCAGCCCTATCCCCCTCTCAAGCAGGCAGGGATCAGCCCTCTTTCCCCAGACACCCCCAGGATCCCACAGACTGGCCATATCCCTGTCTGTGTTGCCCAAAGGTGGATGTGTGTGGGCCTCTTGTCCTGACGTCCTGTCTGTTAAGTGCCCTTTGTTTGGGTGACAAGTTACAGGCCATCCTCGGTCGGAACCATGGAACAATGGGGGTGAAGGGCACAGAGGTCCCGGCCAGGGGAGGAGCCTCCTTGGATGGGCCAGGGTGGACTTCACGAAGGAGGTGTTAGGGTGAGGACTGCCCCTGCTGTCACTGAGCGCATATGTGCAGGTCACGTGTTCAGCTCCCGGATCCTTTGGACCCCCCGGCCAGAGCAAGGGCCCTCCCAGGCCTGGCTCACACCCCACCCTCATGGTCTCAAAGCTGGTCTTAAGACCCGTGTGGCAGGGGGTCCAGCAGGCCAATTGGGGGAGGCGTGGCAGAGCAGAGACCCCCAAGGTGGGAGATGCTGGGATTCAGAGTCCACGGTGGGTGTCGGCATCAAGCAGGACGCTTGCAGAGTGGGGGGGGTTCCTCCAGGGTAGCGGAGGACAGGTGATGGGCAGGCCCCCTCATGCCCACTCTACACCCCCAGCCTGTGTCTCCTCTGTCCCCACCCCCTCCAGCAACTCACCAGGCTGGCAGAGGGGCAGCAGTTAGTGACTCAGGAATCAGGAAAGGCCCTGGACATCAGAATGTGGCCACCCCCTCTCAGGGCAGGCCCTCTCTTCTCACTCCGTGGGTCCCTGTGTAGACCGTGGCTCCCAGAAGGCACGGAGTTTGCGTGAACACTGCCATTCCCTGCCCCGCCTGGGGTGAGGTTCACAGAGAGGCTTCCCTGGACTGACCTTCACGTCCAGGTTCAAGTGAGACCTTCAGCCAGTGCCCGGCGAGCCCATGGGCCTGCCTGGAGGCCAGGCGGGCCCGCCTGCACTGTCCATTGATGCCGGGCAGGATCTGGGCCCAGAGCCTGTGCACCTTACTTGAAGGCCTGGACACGGCATGTGGCCTCCGCTGTCCAGCCCTGACCGGCACAGCCAGCCGGCCGCCCAGTCCTCAGAGGCAGGGGTCGGTCGTGCCCCAATGCCGTGTTCACTGAGGCCCTGTCCCCCAGTCCCTCCCGCTGATCTCCGCCTCCCGCTGGCTGCTGAAGCGTGGGGAGCTCTTCGTGGTGGAAGAGACGGGCCTCTTCCGGAAGCTGGCCAGCCGGCCCACATGCTACCTGTTCCTGTTCAATGACGTGCTGGTTGTGACCAAGAAGAAGAGGTGGGGACGCCGGGGGCCCGGGGCTGCTGGCCTTGGGGGCCTTGGGGGGAGCGGGAGAGCCAGCCCCGAGTCCCCGTCCCGTGGCCCCGTGCCACATCCCACGTGCCACAGGGCGCAGGCGCTCTCTGCCACCCCAGCCATGGGAGCAAGAGCCGTGGCCTCTGTGAGACGGGGGCAGCTCTCAGGGCATCCTTGGGGAAGGGCGGAGGCGGGGGTGGGTATCCCAACCACCGCCTCTGTCCCCAGTGAGGACAGCTACACGGTCCAGGACTACGCGCAGATGGACCATGTCCAGGTCCGGAAGATGGAGCCCTCAGAGCTCCCCCTGCAGGCGGGGGGCAACCGCAGCTCCTCTGTGCCGCACCCCTTCCAGGTGACCCTGCTGCGCAACAGTGAAGGCCGCCAGGAGCGGGTCCTCCTGTCCTCGGACTCTGCGTAAGGGCTGGGGACGCCCGTCCTGAGGTCAGACCTGGCCGTCCCGCCTCCCTGGTGATTCCAAGGCCATTTCTGAGCATCCCGGTGCCCAGGGCTGCCGGGATGCCAGGTCAAGCCGGGAACAGAACAGAAACGGCCTTGGCCTTAGGGGGCTTACATTCCCAGGAGGGAGCATTCCTGGAGCTGGACAACCTCCCAGTTCAGTGTGTCAGAAGGAGCTGGGGGGTGGGCAGGGGGACACCGAGGAAGGCTCAGAACCCAACAACAGGCGAGAGGGAGGCAGGGAGGCTGGAGAGGAGTGCTCCCAGAGGCAGCGCTGTGCAGAGACCCTGAGCACACAGAGCCACAAGGCAGACAGCCAGAGGAACAGGGGCAGGGGCTGGGGTGCTGGAGCCAGTCAGGAGGGGGTCATGCCGAACAGGTGCGGGCACTGATGGGGGTTCAGTGGACAGAGGTACGAGGAGGCGTCAGTCTCCACTTTCCCTCCCAGCTCCCCTTGACCGTGGCTGGCTCTGGGCCCCCTTCCCAGACAAGGAAGCTGAGACCGAGTGTCAATCAGCAGATGGAAGGAGGCCGGGAGCTCAGGCCCAGTGCTGGGGAACGGGGTGTGTTTGGGGTTTGCGACTGCCACCCGACTCTGACAGGGGCAGAGGGGACTCGGGGTCAGTCTGCCTGGCCGCCCCCTACTCACCCATCTTCTCCCCACACCCCTGCGGGTTGGTGTCTGAGCCAGGAACACCAGGCTGGGGGGACTGGCGTGGGGCCTCGCTCACACCCTCTGTGGCCCCCAGGAGTGACCGTGCCCGGTGGATCACAGCACTTACCTACAGGGAGAGACAGGGCCAGGGCCCCACTAACAAAGGAGGTGAGTCTGGGCTGGGGACTTGCGGGCGGGCCTCTGCCAGGGCTGGGCACTTGGCCCCAGGAGCGAGAGTACCATCCTGTGATCCGCCTTAGCCCAAAGGAAGCTGCCACCTGTTGGCTGCTGGGGTCCCACAGTCACGGGCCTTCCCAAGGGGTGTCTGCGGAGGCTGCTGGGAGGCGGGGGAGCCCAGGGTGCTTGGGGCTGCAGAGGGGCCGTGCCCTCCCCAGATAGCCCTGTGACGCCTGTCCCCTCCCCCACCCCCAGACCTGCCCCAGGTGGAGATCACCAAGGCCTACTTCGCAAAGCAGGCAGATGAGGTCACACTGCAGCAGGCAGACGTGGTCCTGGTCCTGCTGCAGGAAGACGGTGAGCACCAGGGGCGGGGAGCCCCAGCCCAGCGTCCTGAGCCGGCCTGGCTGATGGGCTGGGGAGCTCGTAGCCTCAAGGACTCCCCAAAGCAAGGACGCTTGCATCCCGAGTCGCAGGATCAAAAACGGATCTTTGTCACCCTGTGTCCTGAGCAGAAGGAGGGAGTGTCTCTGTCCTCCTGAGGGTCCCCACTGAGCTGGGGTTACAGCTTGTGCCTCCTTGCTGGGGCAAAGCTGGGTGGGGTGAGCTTAGCCTGTCCCTTCCCAGCACCTGCAGGAGGACTGGGTGCCCATGTGGCCTTGGCCTAGGCTTTCTGGGCCCACTTTCTCCCCACAGACGGGGGAGGAATAGTCGGTTCTGAGGAGTCAGCCCTGGCACCCTCAGGCACGGCAGCTCGGCCCCCAGCCTCCCTCTCATGCCTCTCCTGGTGCAGGGTGGCTCTATGGGGAGAGGCTTCGGGATGGCGAGACGGGCTGGTTCCCCGAGGACTTCGCACGCTGCATCACCAGCCGCATGGCCGTGGAGGACAACGTGCGCAGGATGGAACGGCTGCGGGTGGAGACTGACGTCTAGCCATCGCGGGCACCCCGCAGGCCTCCTATCATTGACCCTCCAGTGCCAGCCTGACTCCAGGGAGCTAGTCCCAGGGTCACAGACGATTCCCTGGGTCTCTGCAAGGCCGCGTGGCTGCAGCCATGGGCTCTTGACATGTCCCAGAAAGAAGATCACATGCGTCTCCCCCACCCCCAGAAGCAGCCTGCAGGCAAAGGGGCCACTCCCAGTACCCCCAGGAGGAGCCCAGCCACTGGTCCCACCCCTTCCAGCACCCACAGGGCAGCTGCCCCCAGGCTGGCCCGGACAGAGAACCGCTGCTATCAGCATAGACAATGTGGGGGCTCCTTCCTATGTCCTCCTGTCCCTGAGGAACAACAAGGGCCTCAAGTGCCCAGGGGTGCCCACAACCCAAGAGGAGAGCTGGCTGGAGGGAAGTGACCCTGCAGCACCAGCAGGGAGATTTTGATTTTGAGGTTTCCAAATACATTAAAGTATTTCTTTTAACACCTGGAGTCCCACCACAAATCTGAGCCTGGGCTGAGGCCACAGGTTTCCCAGTGAAATCCCTAAGGTGCTGTGGTCCAGGATTGGACCCTGTGTGTATGCACACGTGTGAGTGGCCACCCAGTGCCTGTCCTTGGCTGTGGCCTGTCTGTCCACTGGCTGGAGCATCGTGGTCAGGGCCAGTGGCTTCCACAGAGCACCCAGGCGTGGCAACAACTGAGCCTGGCCAGGCTCCTCCTGGCCAGTGGCTGAAGACGGGATTTGGTAGAGGCTTTGGGAATCCCTGGGGGGGGTCCCTGGAGCTGGACACAGCCCCGTCTCCCTCACCACTTTGTCTCCTCCTGGGACCTACAGCAGGGAGGCAGCCTCTGAGCCCAGGGGGAAGGCTGGGCCTCGCTCTCCCAGGAGGCCCTACTGGTCTTCCTGTGTCCTGTGCTGATGCCCAAAGCCTCTCCTGGCTGGCGTATCATTGGGGTGTGGGCTCCCGCTATACGCCTGAGAGTCTGCCCTGATCCCACAGTTCCAGGGCCCCTGGCTGCCTGTGAAAGTCAGGGTGCATCTCTCCAGGTGTGAACCAGAAGTGGTGATACTGGCAGGCTGTCCTCTGCCCCTCCCATCCTGGGGCAGCTGCAGGACCTGGTGCAGGAGGGGCTGCTCTGAGCCCTGCCTGCAGAACCAGTTGGTGGGGGTCTTTTGCGCCAGAGGGGTTGGCTTCTTTCCCCAAGGCCTTCATGGCCTGGGGCAGTCAGGAAGGCCAAGGCCAGACCCAGAGCCCGGGTGGGGCCGTGTTGGGCAGGGGTTTTGGTCAGTAGCCATGTGGCAGGATGGGGCAGGGCCAGGGCTTGGAGAGGTGGGGGGAGGGCAGTCCCCTGAGCTGGCCCAGCCCCTCCCACTCCCTGGACATGTGACAAGCTCCAGCCTCAGTTTCTCTTTAACTTGCTGTTCTTTTCCTGGATGCTGTGGGGCTGAGCTGGCAGTCTAAGTGGGATGTGTGTGTGTGTGCACACATATGAGCTTGGATGTGCACACCTATGTACTTGTGTGTGCAGGTGCACATGTATGGAACAAGAGGCATCTCCGTGTGAACACAACTGTCCTGTCTTCACTGCCAGCCCCTGAGAGCTGGGTCTGGGTGAGAGAGGCAGGCCGGCTCCTGCCAAGTTCATGTTCAGTTAATGGGGCTGAGTGGCCCCGGGGGCTGTCCTCTGACTTTGTGGTCCTGTCCTCATGTATGACCTGAGGCAGGCGACTCAACCTCCGAGCTTTGGTTCCGCCTGCAAGTGTCTAATGCAGCCTCTGCCCCAACAGCAGGAAGTAAGAAAACCTGGCCTCTAGGGAGGATGGTCCCAGCGGCCTGGTGGTTGCCATCCTGCTGGGACAGGGCTGGACTTTTGGGAGTGGATGGAGCAACCTGAGAGGACCCAGACCAGGCCTGTTCAGGACAGGAAACCCTGGTAGGGCCAGGAAGCCCCAGGCCTGGACTGCCAGAGGCATGGGGCTGGGAGAGACAGGTGGGGCCCATGGGCAGGAGGAGCTTTGAGGAGAGGGAGGTCAGGGGCTTGTGCAGCCTTTTCTCTGGCACCAGTGCCCTCCTAAGCCCTCTGAGGGCCTCTGCTCGGCCTGGGGTCCAGCCATGGGCCCAGGTGCTGAGACACCCTCAGCAGGATGGGGCCAACCTGGACCCTGCCCAGCCAAGAGCCTGTCTGTCCTCTTGCTATTTCTCCTCTTAGGACTTCAGCCAAAGCTTCCAGTGTTGAGGCCCCGGTGGCACTTACCCACCCCCAGCCCCCAAGTCACAAGGGTCCCATGGAGGGTCTGCTAGGGAGGGGGACCAGGAGGCAGGCCTGTCCAGCCCAGTCCTTCCTCCTTCCAGCCTCATAGCTTGGACAAGTCTTCCGCTGCACGGAGCCTCCTGTTGCAGGTGGGGAAGCGGGAAAACTGAGGCTCAAAGGTACTCTGCTCACAGACAGAGTCAGTGGCTTGCAAGGAGCCATCGCAGCTTCTAAAGATACCCGTCAACCCCAGTAAAGGCTGTGTCCAGAGCAGAGTCCTCGCCTCCTGCAGAGCCTTGCCAGCCTTGGGTACTGCAATGGCTATGTGTGCAGGGCAGTGGAGAGTGGGCCGGTGCTGGGACCCCACCTAAGCCCCTCCCCAAGGCTGCCCTGGGTGGGGAATCCCAGGATTAGAACAGCCCAGGCCTTGGGGCTGTGATCCTTCAAACCTCAGTGCCCATCCTTGAGAGGATGCTGGCCAGATCCAGACGGGCACCCCCCCCAGCATTCTCTGGGGCAGGGGGGCAGGAGGCATGTGGTCCATGTGAGCCAGCATGGCCATCAGGACACTACCGGCCACATTCCTTTGTCCCCATGGAATTGGTGGCATTGCCCATGGAGAAGGCCGATCTCACTGAGGCTGGAGAGCTGCAGGCTCATAGTATGATGTCTCTGCCCTCGCCCCCAACGACCACCCCTCTCCTCTGTGTGCAATGCATGCCTCCTCGACCCATAACCTTGTACACGCATGTCCTCCTAAGGAGGGAACTGACACAGGCATGCGCTCACATGACCTCACGCTTACTCATCACACTCCACACCATCCCGGATCTATTGTGCTGCTCTGCATGCCTGCCTCCTCCTAACCACTCCAGAAGTTTCCAAGCACGTACCACACTTGGTGTGCTTTCTGCTGGGACGCCCTCTACCGCCAGCCCCAGGGTGGTGCCCTCCTCCCACGCCCCCTGGTGGCTGTCAGAGGCCCTGGGCGTTCAATGCACTGCCAGCTGCTGGCTCCAGGGCCATCCAGGGGATCCCAGCGGTGCCCGGGGGGTTTCTCACTTCTGAGCCCCACTCAGAGCCCCTGACGCTCCGACCTTTGCCCCATGGGATTAAGGTGCACACAAGTGTTCTGATCTGCAGCTCTCCAGCCTCAGTGAGATCAGCCTTCTCCATGCACCTGTGGGCTGTGGACTTCCCAAGAGATCTGACGTTTTCTCATCTCAGTCTCTGCCTGCCCATCTTGAGATCAGACTCTTGTCCACTTCAGACACGGCAGGTCGCTCCCCCAGATACCACCTTCAGGCTCCATCGCTGGGCCTGTCATTCCGCAGATTGGAATTGCATCCAATTTGGGGGCTGGGAGGTGACATTTTTATGTCACATTTGTTTTCCCATCATCTCATTTGTTCAAGCTTTTTAGGTCTTTAAAACTCCATTAAAAGAACCAGGAAGTTATTTTGCCAGATAAGTTCCCATACGCTTTTGGGGTTTGTTGCCATGTTGAATAGTCTTTTACCTTGTATTCTGTTTGCTAGTCGGTTATTGCTGGTGAACAACTACTGGCCTTATAGGTTTGATAAATGTTACACATTTAATAGGATCTCTTTGCCAGCTGCTGGCCCTTTTGGCTTCTCATCGAGATGATCCTGTCCTCTGGAAACCAGAGCAGGCTTCTTTTTTTTTTTCTGGGATCATCACCCTTGGTTCTATTTTCTGTCTGATGGTCCCACCTGGGGCCATCCAAGCTTTGCCGCAGGGAGGACTGAGGCTGATGCAGCATCTTCTTCTGATTCTTCACCCCTGTGGGAACATGTTCACTCCCTTGCTGAAGCTTACCGAGCCCCGCCCAGGTCCTGTCCAGGTGGTCCCCATGAAGCAAAGCCCCTGCCTCCCCAACGTATGTTCTGATGGGAAGGTGTGTTATCAGAGCTGTAGAGAACAGCACCTGTGGGGGGGTGGGTACAGTGGGACCAGATAATCATCACTTCAGTGGGTTTTGCCCCAGATTTATTGTTGGGACAGATCCAAGCCCATCTGTTCCTCTACTGAACATAATGCTTGTGCACACCCACTGTCAAGGAAGTGCATTTCTCTACTGTTTTCCTAGACTGTCTATCCTAAGCAGGTGTTGAACTCTATCGGATGTGCTTTCTGCTTCTATCAAAACAGCCATCTGATTTTTCTTCTCACGCAAATACATAGAAACATCTTCTAAAGTTAAACCATCCTTGCATTCCATCAAATCCATTCCCCATTTGGTCAAGCTGATACTAAAGTACTCTTACAAGGACGGAAAGTATTTTATTTAGGGTTTAGCATGCAAGCAATGAGTCTGCAATTCCCTTTTCCTGAACTGTACTCACCTGGGCTTAGAACCAAGTTTATGTTGGCCTCACAGGATGAGGTGAGATGCTTTCTCTCCATTTAAAGTTTCTGAAATGAGTTCTAGATAAGTTCATGGTGTCTGAAAGTCTGCTGCCACCATAAACACCAGCATCTCTGACAATATTACCTGGGCTGCATATTGTGCTGGCAATTTGTGTTTCCCCCCAAATGTATTAATTTTCTAACTTTCCAAAGTTAATGGTACATAGTTGTTTATAGTATTGTTTTATGTCTTTTTCTCTACTGTGTCTGAAATTAATTCTCCCTCCTACTGTATATTTAAAAAATCATCAGTCTTGCTAGTTTTTTCTTTCCTGCTAGGCTTCAAAGAGGAACATTTTGGTTTTCTTAAATGTTCCATTATTCTCCATTTGCTGAGTGTAAAGATTATATACATAAATATGTGTGTACATATGAATATAGTAAATATATAAGTATTATAAACACACACATATCTGTAAAGTTTATTTAAGCTTTGTCTTGTTTGCTCACCTATTGGTTTGCGTGAAGAGCACATTAAAATCACCAGTTACACTTATTTATTAAAAAATTATTTTTTGAGCCAGTGTCTCTGTTTTCTAAGCTGGAGTTCAATGGCATAATCACAGCTCACCACAGCTTCAACCTCCTGGGCTCGGGCAATCCTTCCACCTCAGCCTCCCAAGTAGCTGGGACTACAGGAGTGTGCTACCATGCCTGGCTTTTTTTTTTTTTTTTTTTTTGTAGAGATGAGTTCTCACTATGTTGTCCAGACTGGTCTTGAACTCTGGGCTCAAGCATTCTCCTGTTACAGGTATGAGCCACCATGCCTAGCCTATTTATCTCTACCTGTTACATCCATCATTGCTCTATAAGTTTTGGGGCCTCGTTGTTGGGTACATACGCATTTATGTTTAGAGAAAGGCATGATGCTCTCACTGTGAAATATTAAAACCCCTCCCCCAGCTCTCCTGTGGTTCACTTTGCGTGTTTATGTTTCTATTTTTTGAAGTATGTCTTTTATATTCAAGATAATGTTTACTATGTTTATAATACAATCTAGGGATCTGTTCCTTGATCTTTATATTGACAAATAATAATTATACATATTCATGGGGCTACACAATGATGTGATACATATAATATATGGTGATCAGATCAGGGTAACATATCCATCATCTCAAACATTGACCATTTCTTTGTGTTGTAATCATTCAATATTCTCCTTCTAGCTATTTAAAACTGTGTTATAGATTATTGTTAGGGATCCATTTTTATCATCATTTGTAACCATTTACATTAGGACTTGTTACCCCATTTTCTCCTTATTATACTTCATTTTCCCCCTTTCCTGCCTGCTGTTGGGTGGGTCAAACTTCCCCCGGATGGCTGAAAGTTCAGCATGCCACCAATGTTCTTGTAGCCGTTACATCTGCAGTGTTAACCCTACACTTAAGTTTCTGCTGTATCGCTTCCCTAGCTAATCACTGTGTCTTCACCAGGCAAAACTAGTAGTGACTTGGCATATGCTGGCTCCCTGTTCGCACCTTCGCACCGTGGTGAGACTATCTGGGGTTCCTGTGGTGAAGTGATGGGAATATTTTGATTCTCTCAATCGCCAGGCCACATGGGACATATGGTGAATGAACTTCTCATTGCACCCACTGGGTCATTTTCTCTTCTTGCTGGATACCTTTTTCTAAGAGCATTTTCACGTCGGACTTCAGCGGGGTTGGCCCACGGAGGCGCCGGAGGCCCAAGGAAGAGTAACATGGGCTTTGCTTGTCAGTGACAGCTTATCTGGACGTAAAATTCAAATTATTTTCTTCAACACCTTGAAGACAGAACACCACCATCTTCTGGCTTCCAGGATTTCTCTCATGAAGTCTGACATCAGTCTGATTCCCATTCCTCTTTCTCTCTGGACACTTTAGAACGTCTCTTGGCACTGACCTTCTCGAAGCCCTTTAGAGGCTTTTTTTTCCTTTCCACTTTGAGCTCTTTTGGTCTGAGATCTTTCCTCTTTAGATCCGAGCACTTCTTGTTTGTCGTGGCTTCACGTCAGCGATTTCCTCCACTTCTTCTAGGACTGCAGCCAGGTGAATGCTAGTTAGACGTCCTCATCTGTCTCTAATGACCTTTCCGTCGAAAGTTCTCTCTTCCCACCTCCCTGCTGCCTCCTGGGAGGATGCGGGAGCTCCACCCCTGGCCGCTTCATCTCAACGTGTAGTTTCCACTCAGTCTCCACATGCCCCTTCCTGCTGTGACCCAGCTCCTGCACGTAGCCACCATTCTCCTCCCTCAGTGAGATTCCAAGTCCTGACGTGGTGATCTATTAATCTGGCTTCCTCTGCAACAGACCACTCGCTCCCTTGGTGTCTGTCTGAGATGACCGGGCTCAGTGGTCCTCTTTTCCTTTTGCTGGTGAAATCCTCTGCCCTGGGGGCATCACCGCCTTGGCTGATGTGAGAGAGGAGGGGATTGGGCGACAGCCCAGGCCCTAAGGGGTCTTTCTTCAGATGGATGGTAGAGGCAGAGTCTCAGGGCAGAGAGGGTTCCATGTTATGACTGGGTCCAAGCCTCTCCACTGGCCTCCCTGCCCTCCGGAGAAGCTCCCACGCCCATCCTCCTGCTTCTGCCCTGGATACCACCCTTTCTCCTGGTGACGTCAGCCCCACCCCATGAGCGCCAGGCCCTCGGAGGACTCGCCTTTCCTCGCCCAGGGAGTCCCTGAGCCCTGTAATGTGGCCCCCTCCACTGCTGATGCCGGACTGGGGTGGTGGGGTGAACACAATGGAGGAGAGCCCCCACCCAGGCTGCCTCCAGCCCTGCCCTTGGGGCCCAGCCCTCCTTCCCTCAGGGCCGTTCCTTAGGACCTGCCACTTTCTGGCCCTTGGGGTTATCTCGGCCATGATAAGCGCGTTCTGCAAATCCACCTGCCTCGGCACCAGGACCTGAGATGGACCTCACCTTCACCTGGGTGGCGACCTCACCCCCAGGAACGGCTAGGGTGTCCGTCTGGGCCTCCCTGGTTCAGGGGAGGTTCTTGTCCCAGCACCCTCATGCTGGCTGGGACCGAGGAGGGCCCCACAGAGAGCAGCAAACACAAAGGCCATGAGGCAGCACCGGCTCCTTTACCTCACTGGGTTTTACATGGTGCCTGAGCCCACAGCCTGGTGACCCCTCAGGGCCCTGCAGACCGGAGCCAGGGCTTCCCGGGACGGGACAGGAGATCGCGGGCCCCCACCCAGGGCTGCGGCAACACGTGCAGCCGCCCATAAATACCTTTCCATAAATACAGGCTGGGCGCTATTTCCAGGTAAACTGTCGGCTGAGTGGTAGCAGCCCCAAGGCCTAGCACCAAAGTCCTGCTCGGAGGGCAGCAGCCCCATGCCCGCACCTGGCCATACCTGCCCTTAGTCCCATTCAGGGCTGTAGGGAGGGCGGGGCTTCCGCAGCAGGGCTGGCTTGCAGGGCCCAGGGTGGCCCGAGGGCGGATGTACTTGCCCAGGTTCCACAGAGCCAGCCGAGCGGGTCCTCCTCCCTCCTCAAGACCCCCGGCTGTCCACAGCCTTCCGTGGCCCCTGGAGGAAGGGTGGCACCAGGAGTCCTGGGCCCACAAGAGGTCTCTCTTTAGCACCCCAAAGGCCTGGGTCCCCTCAGGCTGGAACTCAGGGAACGGGGCCTCCAGTGAGCCCACGGAGCTAGTGCCTCACTGTCCTGCCGCCTCGCCGGGGTGCTGGTCTGTTGGAGGCTGGAAGTGTGGCCACTGGGGGACAAGGAGAAACGGAGGGTCAGTCCGGGTGGGGTGGGCACTCCCGAAACAGCCAGGGCTCTGGGCTGGCACCTCATCCTTCCCCTCACACCTTTCCCATCAGCAGCTAAGCCCAGGAAGGGGACAGCAGCCCACTCCTCTGTCCTAGCGTGGGCCCTGGCCCTCCCCTCTGAGGCCCAGAGCCTGGAGGCCCCAGAGCAGCAGGGACATCCCTCCCCTGCAAGAGGCCCAGACGTGCATAAGTGGATTAGCCATGACACCACCCTCCTGGCAAGCCAAGGCGTTCTCCATACCCCTTACCTGGGCTCTGAGCTGGGGACAGGCTCTCCGGGAGCTGGGAGGGCCCACCTGGAGAAGACAGCTCGTGTCGGCGCCCCCACCCCCAAGTGAGCCAACATTAATGGGCAGCAAGGTGTAAGTGCACCCGGGTCTGCAGGGACCCCCACTTCTTTGAGCGCGGTCTCTTCCCCAGCTCACTCCTATGCAAAGAGGGGGCCTCTCCCTCTCCTCAAATGGAGTTCCCAGCCCCTCACCCTGTGCACCTCCCCCATCTTCCCACCCCACAGCTAAGGCTTCACCCAAGGCCAAGCCATGTCCACTCCAGTGAAGGAGGAAGGGCCCAGGACTCCCAACGCCCAGCGAGCCTCCAGCACCGCTAAATGTCAAGGCATCGCCCCACCACCCTTTCCCCAGGTGCCGGATGGCCAGGGGCGCAGTACCACACCTGACCACTAGATGCTGCTGTGGGCAGTGTTATGGCTCTGAACACCAGCCTGCAAGTGGCTGCCTTGCCCCTGCTCCGCCCTGGGAGGGGGCTGCCTCCCTGCAGGACTCTGAGCAGGACTGCCTTGGAGAGGCACAAAACATGCACACACAGCAGCAAAGCCACTTGAGACCCCAGGCCGAGGACGCCCTGTGGAGCCCCCGCTCAGCCATCTGGCAGTGCTTCAGCCTGGCGCCTCAGCTGCCCCCACCTGCTTGTCCTGCCCACAGAGGCCCAGAGCCCGCCTCCCACCCCCCTCTGCAGACAAAGCCTTTCCCAACACCCGCTGCTGGCAGGGCCTGGGGGCCACCAGGGGGACACAGCCAGAGGGCTGGGGGAGTCCCCAAGCTCCACCTGTGGACCGAGGGCAGAGCACACACACAGGCTGGGAGCGCTTGTACATGCCGGGAGCACTCCCACAGGCCTAGAGCACACGCACACCCTGGGAGCACATGCACACACCTAGAGCACTCGCACATGCTGGGAGCACACACACATGCCTGGAGCACAGGCACACACCTGGTGCACTCACAGCGGTCAGGGCAGGGCAGGCGTTGGCCGGGAAGGCGGGCTGCTTCAGGCTGACAGCACAGCCCGCCCTGCCCCGTTGCATGGCTGTGAGGCTCACACCCACGCGTCAGAAGCCGTGGCCCTTTGGGGAGCATGCAGGGACAGTTGGCATTCGCTCCAGCTAGGGTGGCAGTGGGGGAGGGATGGGTGCCTGGCCAGGGTGGATTTGGCGGGGGCAGTGGAGCATGACTCACCTTCTCGGCACGTGGGCCCCGTATAGCCGTCCACACAGTGGCACCGTCCGCTAACAGGGTCGCAGTCTGCTCCACCCCCACAGTCACAGCGCAGGGCACAGCCAGGCCCAAAGTGGCCCTCTCTGCAGTCTGCTGGGGCAGGAGGGACAGATCTGAGCGCATCCCTGACTGCCCAGGGTGGGGACCCTGGGCCTGGGGGCCACCAGCAGAGAGCCCGGGGTGGGGAGGCCCTTCATGCGGGAGTGTTTGGAGCTGAGGCCTCGGGGCTGTTTCCTGGAAGAACACAACAGCCCCTGCGCCACCTTCCTGAGCAGTCTCGCAACTGTGAGCTCCTGAGCCAGAGTCCAGGTCCTAGCATCCGCCCTCACCCTCCTGCCTGGCCCCAGGCAGCGAGAAGTCAACAGTCAGAGGTGCTCCCCCAGGGCACAGCAGGCTTGAGAGCCACAGGGCGGGATGTGCAGCCCAGCGGGCAGCCCCCCATTCTCAGAAGGGGCCACCGTGGTGCCCCACCCACAGCTGGCAGATCAAGGAAGCCTGTCACCTGACCAAGCCATCTCCCAGGGCCATAGCCTCCCTGGGGTTCAGCGGGCGACCGCATGTCCCCAAGGCTGCCTCCCCCGACCCCACCAGAGGGCAAGGGCCAGGTGCAGAGGCTTAAGAGGGCACGGTGCCCTACCTGGGAACTGGCACAGGGAGAGCACAACCAATCAGTATTTGCCACTGATAGGAACCCACAACCACACCCCTCCCAGGCAGGACCCAGACTCACCCAGGCCACACATGGCTCCTGAGCGCCCCGGCGGGCACAGGCAGAGGCCGGTGACAGGGTCGCAGGGTGCCCCCCCGTCGCATTCACACTGCTGGCGGCAGCCCTCTCCGAATGAGCCCGGCTCACACCCTAGGGGGGCAGTGGCCTCAGCATCTTCTCCCATCCTGTGTCCGGGCTGGACAGGGCTGAAGAGAGGCAGTGGGAGGGCGGATGCACTCACCCTCCTCACAGAACCGGCCGTGGACACCGGCGGGACAGAGGCACCAGCCACTGACGGGATCACAGGGGGCACCGTGGTGACACTCACACAGGACCTGGCAGCCGGCACCATGGAAGCCGGGGGGGCAGGCTGAAGGAGGACCCCGGTTAGAGTGAGCCCAGGGCAGAGGGGGTGGAAATGTCCACATGCCCAGACGAGCAACGGACCCCTGATTCAGGGGCCTGGGAGAAGTCCCCTCCTGCGGTTCCCAGTAACTTTACTGGGAAGCCCGGGTCTGCCCAGCTCCTCGCGGGGGACAGGACAGTGCTCAAGGCAGGGGGTCCACCCCGACTCACGGTGCTCGCAGGCTGGGCCGTAGAAGCCAGGGCCACAGCGGCAGGCACCCGTGGCGGGCTCACAGGTGCCATTGTTCTGACAGGCGCACTCCTGGTGGCAGCCAGCTCCGTAGCGCCCAGGGGGGCAGGCTGGGGGCAGAGCAGGAGATGGGCCAGGAGGACGGTCCCTCAGGCACCAGCCTCCCAACCTGATGGCTGCCTGGGGTCCCACAAAGGCCCCCAAGCCCTGCACCCTCCTCGGGAGCCCGGGGCCGCTCCCCACCTAAGACACAGCACCCCTGCCTGTCCCGTGCACTCAGGGACACTCACGCAGCTCACAGTGCAGCCCCGTCCAGCCCAGGCCGCAGGAGCAGCTGCCGTTGGCCGTGTGGCACAGGCCCCCATGTCTGCAGGCACACGTGTGCTCACAGCCCTCACCAAAGCGGTTCTGGGGACAACCTGGGGGTGGAAAGCAGGTGCTGCCTGGAGCTCTGGTCAAGGCTGGACACACTCCAGGAACATGTTCCTGAAGGCTGGCATTCACTCAACAAACACTTCCTGAGGCCTCTCAGTGCCTGTCTCTGCCTGCTGGGCATAGGCATGCCAGGGAGTGACACCAGCTCATTCACCCATCATCTCAGGCAGCAATGCCAGGCCTGGTCTAGGTGCTTGAGGATGGCTCAGTGATAAGAGGGTCAAGGCCCTCCAGGGTTAGTGAGGCCCACCCAGCCTGCAGGGAGGAATCCTGGAAGGCTTCCCGGAAGCAGTGGCATGCTGTGCGCAGGCCCATCTCAAGCCTGGGAGCGCACATCCTCCAGGCCCAAGAGGCAGCATGGTCGGGCCGTGTGTGAACTTAGAGGCAGCTGGCCCATGGCCCTCCTGTTCATGGCCTGTTTGTAGACTCACCCAATGGCCTCTGTCCCTCCTGCAAGTGAGGCAGACCAGGCCATGCCCTGGGGGCCTGATTCATGGACCTCTGACCCTTTGCTGCCACAAGTATCCCAGGAGCCTCTGAGGCTCAGAACTAGTGTGTGGGCAGTGGCAGCCCCTAGGCAGGGACCAAGGGTGGGGATGGGCCCAGACGCTGAGGCTGTGGTCATGGGGTGGCACGTCTGTGTAGGAGCCACCCGACATTCCCTGGGTCCACTTCGCGTCTCTCTTCGGCCTGTGCATCTGGCCTTCCTCCGCCTGGAACCCCTGAAATCCAGGCCTGCAGGAAGGCCAGACAGTCCTCTCCCAAGGGACAGCAGCCAGGAGGTTGGCTCCATCGCAGCAGAAAACAGTATCTGACCCTTCCTGCTGGTGTCCAGAGGCTCTGGGTTGGACCCGCTCCCTGGACGCAGGGTCATGGAAGGACCCAGTGGCCTTAGGCAGAGCCCGGAGTGGCAGGGATGATCCTTCACCCAAGCAGGGCAGCGTCGTCCACACAAGGCAGAGCTACCTCCTGCCTCCAGACACGCCCTGGCGGTGGCCACCCTTGGATGTGACTGGGCTGGGCCTGCCCAGTGACCATGGGTTCACCACGCCGGCTTTGCCTGCAGCTTATCAAGCAAAGTCCCTAGGAAGGGCCAATGCACCTGACCCCCAAGCGGACACTCACCTTGCTCACAGCGAACACCGGTCCTCCCCGGGGGGCAGATACAGGTGCCAGTCACAGGGTCACAGGATGTTCCCTTCCCACAGTCGCACACGTGGGTGCAGTTGGGGCCGGAGCGGCCCTGGGGACAGGCTGCCAGGGAGGAAGCGGTGAGCGTGGCTGCCCCAGGTTGGACCCCGCCAGCCAGCTTCCCTCTCCCCACCAGGTCAACCCTGGAGGCAGGATGGAACCAGATTGATGGGGCAGGGGACCAGTGTCTGCCCCAGGCAGGGTGCAGCTGGCCAGCTCTTGTGCTTTCAACAAGCCCTGGTCTCTCTCCTCCACTGCAGGCTCTGTGGGGAGCTAGGCCACTGTCACCTGCTATGCCGTGACTCACTCTGCCAGCTCCGCCTGGGTCCCAGATGAGGAAAGTCCCCACGTGACTCAGGGAAAAGGCTCTTTGCTCAGCAGGACGCGGGGCAGGGACGGAACTGCCCAGCTGGCCTCCACAAGGTGGGGCTGGGGCAGAGCTGGCTGGGGCCTGGCGGGACCTGGTGCCACACAGACACCCCTGGGGCTGTGGGCCTTTTCTGCCACCACAGCTTAGACCAGCCAGGGGCCAGGCCCAGCAGAAGGACCCACAGGGCCAGGGAGGGGGCAGTCAGGGGCTGTCCTCCGCAGGCTGGCTGACAGGCCCCAGCCCCTGGGACACTGGAGCAGCTGCCCAGCCCTGAGCCCCTGGGCACTCACCGAGACTGCAGTCGGCCCCGAGGAAGCCGGCGGGGCAGTGGCAGGCTCCCGTGGCCGCATCACAGGAGCCCCCGTTGAGACACCCACACAGCTGCTCACAGCCTAGCCCGTACCACCCAGGCGGGCATCCTGCGGGGAGAAGGGCCCGCTGACAGAGGGTGGGGGCTGGAGGCGGCCCCCTCAGCAGCCCTGAACATAGCTGGGTGGCTCCCAAAGGGCCCCCACATCCCACCTTCCATCCCTCAAATAAGGGCCTTCCCATGGACTAGAGGCGATAAGGTCCCGGCACAGCAGTGGGACCCTGATGCCCAGTAGACACTCACGTTGCTGGCAGGTGGGGCCATGGTAGCCAACAGCACACGCACAGGCCCCCGTGGCAGGGTGGCACACCTGGTTCTCACCGGGACACTGGCACAACTGACCACAGTCCTCCCCAAAGGTGCCAGGCGGGCAAGCTGGGTGCAGACAGGGTGGGTCGGTCCTAGCCCAGCAAGGGACCGGCGGCCTCTCCAGGAGTCAGCCTTACCGGCCCCCTCCTGAGGTGGAGATCTGGAAAGCACCTACCCTGCTCGCAGCCTGAACCAGTGAAACCAGGTGGACAGCGACACCCCCCGGTGACGTGGTGGCAGGTGGTGCCAGGTGGGCAACGGCAGCGCTGGGCACAGGCCTCTCCGAACCAGCCTTGCGGGCAGGCTGTGGGAAGGCATGGGCTGGGGACACTTCCTGGGAGAGGCCCGTGGGGACCCAGAGGCCACAGCGGCCAGGGCCGTCACGCTGGATAGGACCCACTCCCGCCCAGGAAAGTGGCCTTGGTGCCGGCTGAGCCGGGGGCTGAACTCACCATGTTCACACCGCGAGCCCCTCCACCCCGGGGGGCACTGGCAGGCCCCTGTGACATGGTGGCAGGGAGCCCCCCGCCGGCAGGCACAGCTCTCCTTGCAGTGGGGCCCAAATGTGCCCTTGGCACAGCCTGCGGGATCGAGAGGGAAGCCTTGAGAGCCACGGCTTCTGGGAGACCTTCACTCCCAGGGAGTAAGGGAGAAACGAAGGCTCAGCCTCGGGGCTCGGCTGTGAGTGGAGGAAGCCTGGAGAGCCTGGGCCAGCCCAGCACCCAGCACTGACAAGACGGCCACGGCTTGGTCCCCCCACCCACAGGAGGTCCAGGGCTCGGGCTGAGCCAGGGCCCATCAGACACCTCTGAGTGGGGGACAGTGCCTGAACCCCCCCCACCCCGTCTGGGCTCTGGAGGGGCTCAGGGCCCAGCGGGGTGAACAAAGCCCTGCCAGCACAGAGGTCACAGCCCAAGCCCACCATGTGAGCCCAATGAGCACAGGGTCCTGGAGCAAGGGGAGAAGGGGCCCCACCCAGAAATCGAGAGATGGGAATAGACTCCCAGAGCATCATACATCCCTGCCCACCAGAGGGCTGGCGGGGGCCAAACATGCCTCCCAAGGCAGGCCAGCGGCACCCCAGTCCCACCAGCCCGGCTTTGGGGTCCAGGCCGCTCGGAAGGCCACCCTTGGCAGCTCAGACAGCAGCCCCCTCCTCACGGGGCACCTGACCCCCAGCAGGGCCTCCAGGCCTCCCCCGCCTGCCCCACTCACGGCTCTGACACTTGTCCCCGGTCCAGCCTGCCGGGCAGAGGCAGCGGCCCATGAGCCGGTCACAGATGCCCCCATTGACACAGCCACAGCTCTGCTGACAGCCGGCTCCGAAGTGCCCAGGAAGGCATGCTGCGGGGCAGGGAGGCCGGTGAGGGTGGCCTGAACTTCCTGCACTGGGGCCGAGGACAGCCCAAGGTGCAGGCCCCTGGCCTGGGAGCCCCCACCTCTGCCGCTCGGCACTTACCATCCTCACAGGCCAGGCCGGCCCAGCCCTCGGGACACATACAGTGGCCAGAGACAGGGTCACAGGTCCCTCCATTCTGGCAGAGGCAGGAATGGCGGCAGTGGTCACCAAACAGGCCGGCAGGGCAGGCTGGACCGGGGAGAGGGAGCAGCCTGCAGTGCCAGCCCCCCATGGGATCTGCAGTCTTCCAGCACCCCCAAAGTATAATGTCAGACCTAGTGGGGGCCGCCTCTGAGATGCCCTGCCCCAGGCCCATCCCATCTCACCATTCCCCCTGGGGAGGGCACACACTGGGGAGAATGGCCCTCCGCCCTAAGCAGTAACCCTCGGGTGCCATCTGTGGGCCCTCAGGAGGCCAGAGCCTTCACCCAAGTCTGGGCCCTGGTCCCGGACTCCTTGGTGGAGCTTACCCTGCAGACAGGAGGGCCCCATCCAGCCAGGGGCACAGCGGCACTGCCCATGGACTGGGTCACAGGAGGCCCCGTTAAAGCAGGTGCAGGTCTGGCTGCAGTTGTGTCCGTAGGTGAGGGCTGGGCAGGCTGCAGGTGGAAACAGGTGGACAGGGGCCTGGGACAGGTGGAGGCTAGGGGCTTGGAGTGGTCAGGGGTCAGGGGCCTGGGGCGGTCAGAGGCCAGGGGCTTGGAGTGGCCAGGCGCCAGGGGCAGGAACACCCTGAGAGGTTACAGCAGCACATCTGCCAGGATCCCCAAGGTCACTGTGGCCAACCTCCTCGCCTTCCTGCCTGGGCCACTTAGCAGAGCGGCCACGGAAAGAGACCCATGCTCTGGCCCAAGTGGGCAAAGTGGCACTCTCAAGGGTGGGGGACCTGGCAGCTTTGGACACTCAGGACAGACGTCCAGAGGAATCTCCCATGGAGGACCCAGCACCCCCTCCTGCAGCACCCCAGGCTAAGTGGGAGCTCTTACTCACTCTGGGCACAGCGAGGGCCCCGGCGCCCAGCGGGGCAGAGGCACGAGCCACTCTCAGCGTTGCAGGTGGCCCCGGCACTGCAGTTGCAGGCTCTGCGACAGTCTAGTCCGAAGAAGCCGGCCGGGCATGCTGCAGGCACAGGGCAGCGATGGGCAGAGGCCCAGGGGTCCCGGGCACCCAGGTCCACACTTGAGGCCACCTGGCTCCTCCCCGGCCTATACCCTGGCTCACCACGCTCACAGAAGGTTCCCCTCCAGCCGACCGGGCAGGTGCAGGCCCCACTGACGTGGTCACAGGCTGCTCCGTGTTGACACTGGCACTGCTGCTCACAGCCAGGTCCGAAGAGGCCCTGGGGACACCCTGAGATGCACAGCCCAGCCACGGTCAGCCAGAGGGTTGAGAGCTGGACCCAGCCCCTCCCGGCCTTTTTGCCATCCCCAGCCAGGGTCAAAGACAGTGGGCCAGACTCCAGCCCCAAGGGGGCTGGGCTCAGTCACATGCCCCTTCCTCCACCCAGCTGGGACCTGAGAAGCTAATGGGAACTCCCAGCATCATCTCAGGGCTGGGGACCTCACCTGGGGCGGTCTCTAGGACAGCCTGCCCCAGACCCTCCCACCCACCAACCCAGCCTCGGGGGCACCCACTGAGGCCGGGGCCTGGGTCCTCCGCAGTCCCCCTTCCTCCCTCCCCCAGTGCCATGTGTCCTGCGGGGGGGCACAGGCCTGCCCTCCCTGCCTGCTGGTCAGAGTGAGCCTCATGTCTGCTGCAGGAAGGTGGGGGGGGGCTTGGGAAAGCTTGAGGGTGCACAGAAGGCAGACCAGGGCCCTAGCTATGGCACACCTGTGTTTGCATGCATATGCATGTGTGTTTTGTGTATGTGTGTGCACCCAAGTGTGTGTGCATGCACATGTGGGTGTGTGTGCAAGCATGTGTGTGCACAGGTGTGCATGGGTGTGTGCACATGTACATACATGTGTGGATGCATGTGTGCAAGCATATATGTGCGCCAATGTGCATGTGTGCATGCACGCATGTATGTGTAGGTGCACGTGCACATGGAAGTGGAGGCACGGCCAGGGTGGCCAGGACTCACGCTGCTCGCAGCTTGGGCCCACGTAGCCAGCCTCGCACAAGCATAGGCCGCTGACAGCGTTGCAGCTCCCGTGGCCTGCACTGCAGTTGCAGGGGTGGCTGCAGTCGGGTCCCCAGTGCCCGCCATCACAGGCTGCAACAGAGCCTGGGGTCATCCCACGCTGGCCTCCACAGAGCCCACGGGCACCACAGCCAAATTGGACCATGGGGGCGTCTCAGGCCAGCACGGGGCCTGCTGCAGGCCTCCAGGCCTTAAGGATCCTGGGCGGAGACTTCTCCAGGAGCCGGGGAGGAATAATGGGACACAGGGCAGGCCAAGCTTCCGGTACCTCTCTGGCAGCTGAGGCCGGTCCACCCAGGGGCACAGCTGCAGCGTCCAGTGGCTGGATGGCAATGCCCGTCGTTGGCACAAGAGCACCTTGTCTGGCAGTCAGGTCCAAACCAGCCCACTGGACACACTATGGGCATGGAGACAGGTGAGTGATGCCCATGCAGGGTCAGGCTGAGATGGGTGAGTGGGGGCCGCCCATGCAGGCTTGGGGTCTGAGACACGTGAGAGGGGGCTGCCCACACAAGGCTGGGGGCTAAGGGTGAGTGGGGACCACCTGCCCAGGGTCATAGACTGAGGTTGAGGCTCAGCCTCACTCACCGTCCTGGCAGCGGCTGCCCGTGAAGCCAGGGAGACACAAGCAGGCTCCGGTCTCAGGGTCACAGTGGGCACCGTGCTCGCATGCGGGGCAGATCTCCTGGCAGCCGAGCCCCCAGCGGCCTTCAGGGCAAGCTGGTTCCCCCATGGCCAGTCAGTCCCCTCAGCAGGCCTTGCTGACATGCCCATGAACAGGTGCCCGCCTCCACCCACCCCATGCCAGCCCAGAGGGGCACCACTGTTACCATCTCAGCCTCCCTCAAGGGAGGGGCACGGGGCAGCAGGATCCGGCACTTCCTGGGGCTGCAGGCTGAGGGGTGCCCCTCGGAAGAGGAGCCCCAGCCCCAGGGTGGGCTCAACAGGCAAAATGGACTCCTTAGCAAGGCTGGGAGACCTCCGCACTGCAAGCAAGTCACCCAGGAGGGCCTCCCACAGTCCTGGGGTCAGCTAGACAGCCACAGACCCCACTCTCAAACTCAGTGCACTGTGAGCTCTCATGGTCACTGCAGACAGGCCTGGGGTCCCCAACACAGTCCAGGCTGAGGCCCCCGAATGCAGTCCAGGCTGGGGTTAGGGTTATCCAAAGACAGTCCAGGTAAGGTCCCCAAAGATAGCCCAGATCAGGATCCCCGAGCACAGTCCAGGCTGGGGTCCCCAAATGCAGTCCGGGCTGGAGTCAGGATTATCCAAAGACAATCCAGGTCGGGTCCTCAAAGACAGTCCAGGTGGGGGTCCCAAAGACAGTCCAGGAGTGATCCCCAAAGATAGTACAGGCTGGAGTCGAGGTCTCCAAAGACAGTCCAGACGGGTCCTCAAATGCAGTCCAGGCTGGGGTCAGGGTTATCCCAAGACAGTCCAGGCGGGGTCCCCAAAGACAGTCCAGGCAGGGTCCCCAAAGAAAGTCTAGACTGGGGTCAGGGTTATCCAAAGACAGTCCAGGTGAGGTCCCCAAAGATAGCCCAGGTCAGGATCCCCGAGCACAGTCCAGGCTGGGGTCCCCAAATGCAGTCCGGGCTGGAGTCAGGATTATCCAAAGACAGTCCAGGTCGGGTCCCCAAAGACAGTCCAGGCTGGAGTGGTCTACCAAAGACAGTCCAGACTGGGGTCCTCAAATGCAGTCCAGGCTGGGGTCAGGGTTGTCCAAAGACAGTCCAGGCGGGGTCCCCAAAGACAGTCCAGGCAGGGTTCCCAAAGAAAGTCCAGACTGGGGTCCCCAAACACAGTCCAGGTCAGGGTTCCCAAACACAGCCCAGGCTGGGGTCCCCAAACGCCATCCAGGGCTGGCCCCACCTGAAATCATACAACGCAGGGAGGGCGCCGGGAATGCCGCCTATACTCACCTGCGCCACAGTCTTCCCCGGTCCTCCCTGGCAGGCACAGGCACTGCCCCGTGATGCGGTGGCAGGGGGCACCCCCACAGGAGCAGGAGCCTGAGCAGTTCACACCGAATGTCCCTGCAGGGCACTCTGCAGCAGGGAGGAGGCAGGAAGGGCCTCAGCCCCCACACGGAGCCGTCAGCCCTGTGGCCTCTTCCCCGGGCTCCTGGCCAGCACCCACCCCATGCCGGCTCCCGCTCTAGCTTCAGGGGGCGCTGCCGAACACAGCTATGGCCCCTAGGTGCCCGGGACAGTCACAGGAATGGGCAGGAGAGGGGGGTGAAAGGTGGGCACAGCTGGAGGGGAACCCTCACTGTCCAGCACCCCGGACAGCTCCCAGGAGCCTACTCAGAGCCGGCCCTGGGCGGCCCCACTGTACTCAGGTCAGTGGCCCTCTCACCCTGAACTGGGGGTGTCACTCCAGCCCCTCCCACTCCCCTCCCCACTGAGCTTGGAACACTCATAGGGACCACCCCCGGGGCTGGGGGACTGCACACTCCACCCCAGAACTGTGGCCCTTCCCTACAGATGTGGCGGGGTGGAGAGGTTGGAGTCCTACTGAGACCTGAGGTCCAATTTCCCCCCAAGAAGGAAGAGCAGAGGCCCAGAAGCCTCAGAAGAGGCTGTGGGGGCTGGCGCCAGCCCTGCCTGGGGAGAGCCTGCAGGGGCAGCCCCACCTCCATGGCCTGGCACAGCCCTGGGCGCAGAGGCTCAGAGCAGCCTCCCCTGGCAGAGCCTCCCTCAGCACTCCTCACACCTGCCCAGCCCTCAGGGCCTGGTCTCTACCACCCAGGGCGACAGGACATGAAGCCGGGGTGGGAACTCCGGTGGCAGAAGCATCTTGCCTGCACCACGTGGCCACTTGGATGCCCTGCCTGCTGCTGGAATGAGACCTCCTCCAGGCCCCACAGAGGGGCCTCCACACCCCAAGAACCACAGAACCCGCGAGTCAAAACACCCGCAGTGGGCTGAGCGCCATAAGGAGCTTCAGTAGGACAGGCAGGGACCTGGGCCAAGGCTCGGGGGCCAGGGGGCCCTGGAAATGGAGGACACGCGGTCGGATCCTGCAGTGGCCCATCTCCAGGGACACCCACCCTCGGGGACATGGTGTGCACCAGGGCGTCGGGCAAGCACACCCACAGGCATCGCACAGCAAGGACCGAGGAGAGGGGCTGGCATCACCGGTCAAAGCAGCCCAGCCTCAGAGTCCCCTCCCACCCCGATAACAGGGACAGACACGTGCTCGGGGGAGTGCTCATTTCCAGACCTACCCACAAGGTGGGCCACCAGTGGCTGGGACCCCAGCCACGGCTCCCAGTCATCCTGCCTCCCGCAGCAGGGAATGAGGCTCCTCATGCCCCCACCACCCCTGCCCTTGCCCACAGCCCCAGCCCCATACAGGCTGGGTGCAAACAGGGACGGAGGCAGCTCCCAGGCCTCTGGAACACTTGAGGGGCGCTGCTGGCCCGTTTCCGGGCCGGCTCCTGACAGCCAGCTCCTCTGCCTACCACGTCAGCATGCAGCACTTAGAGCCCTGGGCCGCAGCCTCCACGTGGCAGGAGCTTCAGCCACGGCCCCTGTGATACCTCCAGCTCCGGCCTCTGAACCGCCAACCCAAGAGCGGCCTCTCTCCTGCTCAGACGGCGAGGAAGCGTGGCCTCGGCACGATACACGCCCAGTATGTCCCAGTGGCTGAGCAGGGAGTGATGCTGGAGAGACACAGGCCCTTCCCTGGCCAGGCCCTGGGCAGACAGTCCAGCTCTGCCTGAGTTGCCTCTAGGGCACACACCAGAGCCACATGCTGTGGTTTGACAAGACGGTGACACCAGCAGGAAGGGCACCACCTGGGCCCAGGCAGCAGGGGCTGATGGCTGCGTAGCACTTCTGGGCCCCACCCCCAGCCAGGCAGACAACCTAGACCCCACACCTAGACCTCCAGGGCCAGCCACTCACCTTGACCACAGTCCTCCCCCTGGAAGCCAGCTGGACACTGCTTCCGACACTCCCCACTCACAGGGTCACAGGCCACACCCAGTGGGCAGGTGCACACCTTCTGACACCCCAGCCCAAAATAGCCAGGCTCACATTCTGCAGGGTATAAGAGAGGGGCGTGGGGTCAGCCACAGCAGCACCCCCTCCCCTACACCTGCACACACCTGGAGCTCCTCCCCCATACCTGCACTCACCTGGGCCCCTCCCCCCACACCTGCACTCACCTGGGCCTCTCCCCCCACACCTGCACTCACCTGCCTGGCACCGCTTGCCCTGAAAGCCGGCCTTGCAGGAGCAGCTGCCGTCCCTCCTGTCGCAGGACCCCGTGTTGGGCTGCACGCATTGACACTCCTCCGAGCAGCCCGGCCCGAAGGCCCATGGCGGGCAGGCTGCACCCACAAAACTGTGAGGAGGGCCGTGCCCACTGCAACACCCCCTCCCAGACCCCATTTCCAGGCAGCCTTCCCGGGGACATGGCTGACTGCGCCCATTTCACAGATGAGAACCAGGGCCTCAGTGAAGTGCAGGAACTTGCCCTGGTCACACCACCTCCCAGCCAGGAAAGCCCCAGGTCCTCCTCTCCAAATAACTTTCCACAGGACGGTGTGAAGGGCAGTCTTCATCCACTATCTCCTCCTGACATCGCCCCCTTCCCTCCCTGGGTGTCTGGGAATGGGCGACCCTGCCAGGGGCTCAGGATTGGCCTGGCTGCCAGGACTCCAAAAGCCAAAATAAACCCCACAGCCTGGAAGATTCCACAAGAGGCCTGCCCTTGCCCTCTCAGGACCAGGGCTGGGAGGTGCCCTGAGGCTAAGACCACCACCCAGATGCCCTGGATGCCAGCACAGCCAAAGTGGAGAGGACATGGCTGGGAGTACACAGACCTGGGCAAACCTCAGCCCCGCATCCCAGCACGGGCAATAAGGCATGGCTCCCACCACCCAAGGCCACCTTGGACACGGGCAGCAACGGCAGGACTCACCCAGGTGGCAGAAGCGTCCATAGAGTCCAGGGTCGCAGAGACAGGCCCCATAGAGGCGGTGGCACCGGCCACGGTTGGCGCAGTGGCATTTCTTGCGACAGTGCTTGCCGTAGAAGCCTTTGGGGCAGCCTGGGGGAATGTGGGGCTCAGGAAGCTCCTTGGTGGCCCAGAGCACGTGGCCCCCATCTGAGGAGATGCTGGGGGCCCAGTGACCACTCACAGCGCAAGATGAGCCCCCTGAGTGTGACCATCTGCCTGGCTGGCCTGTCCCCCTCCTCCCCCCAGGGTCTATGGCAGGGGCAGACGAAAAGCTCCCACTTCCCAGTATCTGGGTCACATCAGGAGTTGCCTTTCTCTTTTTTTTTTTTTTTTGTTTTGTTTTGTTTTGAGTTGGAGTTTCACTCGGTCACCCAGACTGGAGTGCAGTGGCCGCTCCCGGCCACCGCAGCCTCGCCTGCTGGGCTCCAGCGATCCTTCCACCTCAGCCTTCCGAGTAGCCAGAATTACAGGCGTGCGCTACCACGCCCGGCTGATTTTTTGATTTATTGTAGAGATGAGGTCTCGCTGCCCAGGCGGGTCTCGAACCCGCGGGCTCAGGCAATTCACTCACCTCAGCCTCCCAAAGGTGCGGGATGACAAGCTGAGCCACTAAACCCGGCTGCCTTTCTCTTTTTTTAGAGACAGGGTCTCACTCTGTCACCCAGGCTGAAGTGCAGTGGTGCCATCATAGCTCACTGCAGCCTCCAACTCCTGGGTTCACGCAATCCTTCTGCCTAGCCTCCTGAGTAACCAGGACTACAGGGCCACGCCACTCTACCCAGTTAATTTTTACATTATTTTCTTCTAGAGACAAGGTCTTGCTCTGTCCCCCAGGCTGGAGTGTAGTGGTGCCATCATTGTTCACCGTAGTCTCCAAATCCTGGGCTCAAGTGATCCTCCCACCTCGACCTCCCAAAGTCCTATGATTATAGGTGTAAGTCACTGCATCCAGCCTTGGAGGCCCCTGACGTCTGTCCCACAGTGGTCACCCAGCCCAACCTCAGGACATCAAAGCAGGAAGGACACACAGCCCCAACAGCTGGCCGGAGTCCCAGGCCCAAGCCTCCAGCAGCCCCAGGGCTAGAAAACGTTCTTGCCTTCCTTCCAAAACACTTCCCTCTGGCTCTGTCCTGCCCTATGTGTCTCCTCCTACTGAAGGGGCCACAGTAGGTGTCTCTCAAGAGGAGACCACCCTGCATTATACAGGTGGGCCCCACATCTGAAGACAAATGTCCTCATCAGGGAGGCAGACGGAGATGTGAGGAAAAAAAGAAGGCACAGACGAGGGACGGCCACACAAAGTCACAGGCAAATGAGTGACACGGCAGGAGCAGGGGACACAGAGCCTGGGGGTCCACGGGAGCTGGAGCACCTGCCAGAGGCTGGCCCAGCAGCCTTCCTGGGACCACGTCCTTTGGGGCACAGGCACAGGCACACCTCAGCTGTGGGGAACCAGGAGACCCCCCCACAGGAGCCCCCGAGACCTGGGTCTCTGGGACATCACATGGACATGGAAAGCAGAAATGCCAGGACTCAGCCCTGCACTTGCAAAAGCCCGGGGTCCCCACAGACCTGTACCCACACCACTTCCAGCGGGCAGTAGGTTCCCACCCCTGCAGAATAGAAGGGTGGTGGAAGGGGAGAAGGTAGATACGCTGGGGAGGCAGGAGAAAGCCCTGTGCAGCAGCCTGGGGACTAGTCCAGAGTCCAGGACATGCAGCCACCAAGGCGCACAGGGGCAGTGGGGATAGGGTGTGTGGACCTCCATCCTCCTCCCCAAGGCAGAAAGTCTGTTCCATGAACTGCACGCTCCAGCCACAGAGGATATAAAAGGGCTGGAGGCTTAGAGATGGAGCACTAACCACCCGGGAAACTTACTTCTGTGGACTCACTCCTCCAGCAACGCTGAAGCCCCAAAGTCAGAAAGGCCATTGGCATCACCCCATGCAGCCCCTGGCCCACATGCAAATCCCACTCAGCCATCCTTCAGCTCCACTTGAATGCTTCCAGGAATGGGGGGCCTAACTACCTTCCAAGGGAATCCATCCCACAACTGCTATCCTATAAAGTCTTGACTGTATGCCTAAAGGATGCCTCGGGAAAAGTAGCAACAATGAAAAACCCAATGTCTCTCTCACTAAAGGGGCCTGCTCCCCCTCAGGGAGGCAGGGAGGGAAGGGAATCAAACCACGCATGGGGTTCCTTTCCCTGCTCCAGCAGAAGGAAGGGGACCAGGAAAGTTGGGTGGAGAGAGCCAAGGGGTGGTGCCTCCCACCTCCCTGATACCCCAGGGACAGTTCCAGAAGCACAAGAGGGGCTGCACGCACCATCCTCGCAGTGGGCTCCACCGACACCTGGGGGACAACGGCAGGCCCCCGTCACGGGATCGCAGGTCCCCCCATTCTGACAGCTGCAGGACAAGCTGCAGTTCTTCCCGAAGGTGTCTGGAGGACAAGCTAGAGGGACGGACAGAGAAGCACCAGGGTCACAGCCAGCAGGACTCTGGGCCCAGCAACCCCATCAGCACACTGAGAGCCCCTCCGGGCTAGAGGCACCTGGTTAGAAAAAACCACCTAGAGCCACAAAGGATGGCACTTGTGCTGCGCCAGCCCCACCTATGCTCCTAGCAGACATCACCAATTAATGACCAAATCCTATCCCTCTGAATGCAACACACCCACCAAGACTCTGAACAGCCCTTTCAAACAGACAGGGCCTCACAGACAGTCGCCAAGGGGCCCCGCCAATCCAAGGGAAGAGCCCCCCTGCCAGCTGCCTTCAGCGGGCACCCCTCGCTATCTCAGCTATTTGCTGGCTTGTTTGCTCTGGACCCCTGGCGACTGACATCATGAGGGACAAACACTGCGGCTCACTTGTTCCCAAAGAATCCCATGGCCTAGAACAGTGCCTGGCTCAGAGTGGACAGTCAGCAGACACTTACCAAGGAACAAATAGATAGTGGGTGGATGGATGGTGGATGGTGGACAGTGGGTGGGTAGATGGACAGACGGACGGACGGTAGATGGTGAATGAATGAATGAATAGGTGGATGGTGAATAGGTGGCTGGACAAACAAATGAACAGACGGATGGTGGATGGATGGAAAATGGATGGATGAAGGGATGGATGGCGGGTGGACGGATGGTCCCGACCCCCTGCTCAGGGCCAGCAGGGAGGACTAAAGCAGAATGAGCTGTCCCCAAGCTCTGGGGCTCAGAGGCCCCCGCCCAGCCTGGCTCTGCCCAGTCGCCTCACTCTCATTGCAGATGAGCCCCGTCCAGCCCTCGGGGCAGTCACAGCCATCCAGGCCCAGGAGGCAGGTCCCTCCATTCCTGCAGTCCTCACAGGTCAAGCTGCAGTCGTGGCCGAAGGAGTTGTCCAGGCAGACTGGGGGACAGACGGGAGGGGGCTCAGCCCTTGAGGGCCCCAAAGGGTGGTGGGGTGTGGGAGCAGATGCCGAGGCCGAGCAGTGCCTGACCTGGGGGCTGGGTCTAGCCCAGGCTCAGCTCCAGACGTGCTGTCAGACTGAGCGAGTGGCTCGGCCTCTCTGGGACCAAGCCATCGTAGGGCCCACCCTCATGCCCTCAGAGCGGACAATGCCTGGCCCCAGGGGTCAGGGCCATAGTCCCTGAGAGCTGGAGCAGGTTGGGCTGTGCTCACCGAACTTCTCCGTGAGCGTGTGCTCCCCACGCAGCTCCGCCTCGTCCTCATCAGGCCCCACGTCATCATCCTGGAAAAGCTGGGGCAGCGCATCCAGCTGTGCCAGCGTGTGGGGCAGCGGCCGCACAAAGGGTAGCTGGCCATCCAGGTCCACCGCCGGCTCCCCCAAGGCTGGTGGGACACAAGCCCTCAGCCCCTGCCACCCACCAGCCACCCCACAGGCCCGCAGGTCCCACCTCCTCGGTCTGGCTGCAGGGGTCCTCCCAGCTGCCCCGACCCTGCCTCTCAGGGCAGAAGAGGCTCCAGGCTCGCTACCCCTAGCCCGGCCTGCTCGTACCCTGGCCCTTGGCTCTAAGACGTAGGTGGTGGTCCCTTCTCTCAGAACCATTCTAGTCGGGACAGAAGCTGTACCCCCGGGACTCCCCACAGGGCACTGGGCCCGGAGGATGCCTGTCTGGCCAATTCTTGCCCCCTCAGGGGTCCACACAGGGTCCCTCAGCCCCAGAGGCGGTGCCATCCCAGGAAGGTGGGGGTGGGGGCGAAGGCTGGGTGGCCGGCCTGGCATGCGGGGCGCAGGGGATTCTGGAGTAGGACCCAAGGAAGTGAGGGTTCGGCTGTCCAGTGGGAGGCAGGACACTCACGGGTGCAGCCCCTGCGGTCCTCGTCCAGCCGGTAGCCGGCCTCGCAGGAGCACTGGAAGGAGCCCACCAGGTTGGCACAGTGGTGCTCACAGCCACCACGGCTGGAGGCACATTCATCCTCATCTGCGGGGGACAGGACACTGGGGCCAGTGCTCCTGGGTTGGGAATGCTGGTGGCCCCCACCCGCCCGATGCTGGTTTTGGGATGGAGGCCTGGGCGGCCCTGCTGGAGCTAGGCAGCTCAAGTCCTAAGCCAGCCGCAGCCACGATGGCCTTGGGGCCATCCTCCCACTCCAGGGTCAGAGCAACTGTGGACACCTGCCCAGCGAGGCCAGGCTGGGAGGGGGCAGTCTGGCAGCAGCCAGAGTGCAGGCCCAGCCCCTGGAGGGTGCGGCCTGTGACCTTAGGTTAGATGGAGGGAAGGGGCCCGGTCAGCACGGTCAGCACAGGCAAGAGGTGTGAGCCAAGGCCTGCACAGCCCTGCATACAGCAGGTGCTCAACCAGTGCCTGCAGAGCCCTTGTGCAGCAGGTGCTCAAGCACCACACACAGCAGAGCATGGGCGGGCAGACCCCAGGCCCCTGTAGGGGCCAGACCCAGCCCTGCGTCCCTCCTTGGAGCCCGCGTCCCTGGCTAACCTGCTGCCACAGGCTGACACCACTCACCCTCGCAGCCGCAGCCATCGGGGCTGAGCCGGAAGCCGGCGTAGCAGCCGCACTCGTACCCGCCGGGGTTGTTGGTGCACACCTGCTGGCAGCACGGGGCATCCGCGCAGTCGTCCACATCTGTGGCACACCATGGCTGCTGAGGCACACACACCCGCCACCCACCCACAGCACATGTGCATGCACACACCACTCGCAACAGTCACAAACACACAGCTCACACAACCCACACACAACCAGTCACACACAATCACACAAAGTCACACTCAACCACAGTCACACACAACTGCATGCAATCACACACCCACATACAACTGCACACCATCACACACACAACTCAAACACAACCACAGCCACACACAACCGTACACAACCACACACCCACACACAATCACACACAACTCACACGCAACCCACACACAATGACAAACACCCACATACAATTACACACACAACTCCCACACAACCAGTCACACACACCCCCACACAAAACTGCACACACACACAACCCACGCAACTGCACTGCCCACATTCACACACACAACTCCCACACAACCAGTCACACACACCCACACACACACACAACCATGCACAATCACATACATCCACATACAACTGCACAAAATCACACACACCCATACACAACTGCACACAATCACACAACTCACACAACCCACACACAATGACACACACAACTCCCACACAATGACACACACAACTCCCACACAAGCCACACACAACCTCACAGTCACATAGACCCATACAAAACCGCACACAATCACACAACCCACACAACCACACACACAATTCACACACATCCACACACAACTGCACACATCCACACACACATCATGTACAGCCTACATGCAACAATACACTATCACACACAACTCACACACAACCACAATCACACGCCCACACACAACTGCACACAATCACACATAGTCTTCACAACCACATACATCCACACACAGCTGCACATATCTACACACATCCACATACAATGAACACACACAACAGCACACACCCACACACACCAACACACAACCCCAAACACCCACATTCAACCACATGCACCCATACACAATCCACACACCACACTGCACACGCACCCACCTACAATCTCATCCATGCACACACATGGCCCCTGCAATCACACACATCTACACACAACTGCACACAATCACACACACCCATATACAATCACACCCCTACTAAATCACATACGTACATGCATAACCACACACAGCCACAATTACACATAAAACCTCTTATAATAACCCATATAAAACCCCACATGCCCACACACAACCACATACACTGGCACACAATGCATCCACACAACCACCTATAACTGTATACAACCACACGCAATCACACACCCCTACACATATGCACTCACCCACGTATAATTGCCCACACACAATTTCATACTCCTACAAACACAACCACACAATCACAACACTCGCGACCACACTCGCACATACAACCGCCATACAACTGCATATACCACACACAATCACACACATGCCCACACAAAATCGCACATGCACTCAGACATGTTCCTGGTCTTGCATACATGGACACACATCATAGCCCCAGGGCCACCCTGCCTGCCCACTGTGGACATGCTGGGACTGGGGCCAGGGTGGATCTGGAGAGTGAGGAGCCATCTGAGAGTCGGGGTCTCCCAATGAAGAGGGACTCCTCCCCAGCCACAGCATTCCAGTGCCACCCCGGACACCGGGCCTTAACCAGGAGGTGCCAATGGGGCACGGCAGGTCCTCCCAGGTCAGGACGATGCCTCAGCCAGGACTGCCCACCTCCCAGGCCGGCCCGAGGCAGCCAGACGGGATCCGGGGACACAGAAGGGACTTCTGGGTCTCTGCACCCAACCAATCCCCGACTCGGGCCACAGAGACTCCCTAGTTGGGGTAGGGTCTGGAAAGAGGCAGTGCATACCCACGCAGGTCCTCTGATCGGCGTCCAGCTCGTAGCCACGGGGGCAGCTGCAGAGGGGCCCCGTGCTGGTGTGGCTGCAGCCATGGGAGCAGCCGCCATTGTTGGTCTCACAGCTGTTCACGATCTCCATCTCGATGCCTGCCATGAGTCCACCCGGGGCACGGGACAGAGTCAAGCCCCCCACCCACGCGGTCCTTCCCAACCCCAGCACCTGCCTGGGCCCCGGGGTCATTCTGCTGGAACACCTGCCCTCGGCCCATCCCCCCCAACACACCGACAAGGAAGCTCCCCCCTCCCCTGGCCAAAGTGGGCCTGGAGGAGCCACACGGCCAGCACAGGCCTCTCCACCCCGGGCCGCTCCACCCTGGACCCCTCCAGCCTGGGCCGCAGCCCACTCACTCACGGTAGCACTGCCGGCTGTCAGCGCCCAGCTCGTAGCCCGTGCGGCACACACACCTGAAGGACCCCGGGGTGTTGAGGCAGCCGTGGGCGCACTGGGCCAGGCCCATGGCACACTCGTCCATGTCTGGAGGGAGAGACCACAGAGAGAGCTCAGGACACCGCGAGGGACCTTTGCCAGGGCAGCAGGAGAGCACATGTGGCTGTGAGGCACAAGTGGTCAGGACGGGATCTCGCTGTCCCTGATGCCTGTGGGCCATGCCCCTGCACACGCCTTGGACGAAGAAGCTGAGCCTCAGCCGGGTCTCAGCCCACAAAGCCACCTGCACCCAGAGGGACGGGTGCTCCTGCCTCACCAAGACTCCTGGTGTTGGTTGAGGGTGTGGCATTCAACCCCAGGGCTGTCCAGAGGGACCCTCAGGAAACAGACTACCTCGACGCTTCACAGGCTCCCCGAGGGTCACCGGGCCATGGACAGATCCCTCCCCACAGCCACTCAGCCCAGGCATCCCAACACCCAATGTCCTGGGCAGGCGAGTGAACACATGGCACCTGGCCACACAGTGGGTGAGGCACAGTCAGGAATTTGAGAGCGTGTCCAGAAAACAGTGCCCACCCATGACCTGACTCTGAAGATGCAAAGTTAATAGACAACCTCAGAACAGCAGGTGCCAATATTGAGGGGTTTTCCTCGCTGAGCAAGGATTGTTCCTTTTTTCTTTGTTTCTCTTTTTAATTTTACTGTTTCGTGGCAGGGTCTCGCTCTGTCACCCAGGCTGGAGTGCAGTAGCTTGATCATAGCTCACTGCAGCCTTCCACGTCTGGGCTCAATGATCCTCCTGCCTCAGCTGCTGGGTAGCTGGGACTCCAGGCGCCTCCACGCCTAGCTAGGTCTTCCTTTTACTTCTTCGCCTCCTGTTTTCCAACCGAACAGGCATTGCTGAGGTTACACGAGAAATCTTTTGAAAAAGAAAAGCGGAACCCTCGCTCTCCCACTTCCTCCTGGTGAAATGAGCCCTGGTGGGAAGCAGCTGAGTGAGAGGACCTCGCCCCACCCCCGTCTCCAGCAGGGAGATGAGACTGAGTGTCACCCCAGTCACCCAAGGGTCCAAGGCGGGCCGGCCCTGCTCCAAAGGGCCAGGCCCAGCGGGATGCCACGGCTCAGAGTTGGACCAGATCCCTCCACCGCGCCATGGGCATGCCTGCCAACCCTGGGGCAGGGAGGGGCATCCTACCTTCACAGGTCTTGCCATCCGCTGCCAACCGATAGCCTGCGTGGCACCCACAGTGGGCGAGGCCCCCAAGAGCCTGGCACGTGTGCATGCAGCCGCCATTCCCATCTGCACACGGGCTTCTCCCTGCGGTCATGGACCCCAGCGGGATGGGGGCAAAGGGAAGAGATGAGGGCAGGGAGGGGGGCGCCCGTGGGTCTGAGGCGTGTGGCCCAGGGTTTCACCTGACACCCCACCAGCACTCTCCCCGCTCCCTGCTCCGGCTGACGGGCTGGGTAGTGGGTCTCCCGTCCCCCAGATGTGAGAAGCCCCTGGGACCCTGAGAAGACTCCACGGCCAGGATCAGGCCAGGCAGTGGGTGTGGGCGCTCCTGCCATGAGTCTTCTTGTGGGAACGCAGGTGCCAAGAGTGACACCAGAGCTGTGACCCCGTCTCTGTGACACTGTGCCCTTCCGCCCCACCGCTGGCCCAACCCTCGTGCCCACACTTCCTGCCCTGCTAGGGGGCCCAAGGAGCCAGGTGGGGGCACTTTCTGAGCACCTGCCCTACCCAAAGGCCCGGTTTCCACATTCTGGGGGCCTCTGAGCCTTGCGCCACCTTTGCCATCAGCAAAGCCCCCTCCTGCCATGCAAGCAGCCCCAAGATCCCAGAGCAAAGGGCCCTCAGGCCCTGGGCTGCCTCCTCCACCCAAGGCCTGGGCCAGGTCCCAGATGCCCCTGCAAAGCCTGGGTGGGCTCTGTGAACCTGGCGTCCTCCCCGCTCCTGAACGACCTGCCCCCACAGATGTGCTATCCCAGAGCGCAGTGCTCAGGCTGGGCTACGCCTCCCCCGGCCTCTCAGCAGCCTGGGGGATCCTCGAGCCCCATTATGGCTCCAGCAGCCCAAGCAGGGCAGCTTGTCCTCATCCGCCCCTGGGCTCAGGCTGTGGGGTCTCTGGGGGGCCAGCAGGGCCCCGGCCTGTCCTCCCTCTCCTGAGGGCTGCGGCACTCACGGACACAGCGCCTGCCGTCCTCCTGGAGCTGGAACTCGGGCCGGCACTGGCAGCGGTGCCGGGTGGCCGTAAGCTGAACGCAGTGGTGCTGGCAGCCGCCATTGCCCAGAGAGCAGGAGTTGATGGCTGGAAACATGGGGAAGAGCCCAGATCAGCCCAGGAGCGTCCCAGCTAGCAGTCCCCACCCTAGCCGGCACGGAGAAGGAGTGGCACAGCCACCTCCTCCTGCAGGCCCTCCAGGACCCCTGGGCCAGTCTGAACCCCCCCGCCCAGCTGCTCTTGTCTAGCTCACAGGGCTGGCTTTGCTTTCTCTGCCCACGTACAGGATACGCAGGATCATGGGCGATTCTCGGGATCCTGCAGCCCCAGCTTGCCCGAGGGCTAGACACAGAAAAGACCTGCAGATGGCCCCACCTAGGCAGACATCCCCCAGCACAGCACACAAACGCACGGGCTTCTGAGGAGACCAAGAATGAGAGTTTGGTGTCCAGGCAGGCTTCCTGGAGGAGGCAACTGGCTGGCAGGGGGAATGGGAGGCCTAGGCATCTTACTTGGTCCTCAGGCCAGGGCAAGGGACAGGAATGGGGGCACCATGGGCAGCTGCTATGGGTCGCAGGCTTGGCCCCAGGCTCCTGAGGGACAGAGCAGCTCCTGCCAGCCCCAGGTGGGGCCATGCCTCACGCCTGACCTCACAGTGCCCACGTCCCCAACCGCCCTTCACATGCAGACCCCTGCAGGGGATGACAGAGGGATCAGGTGGGCCCAATGGGCGCCTGTACCCTCAGCTGGCCCCAGGATGCAGGATGGCGAGGGGCCAGGCTGGGCACGCAGGGTGGGCGTTGGGCCTCCACCAGAAGCAGCAGCCAGCTCCTCGCCGGGGAGTTGGTGACGACCCCGTCCCTGGCAGTCGCCTTGTGGTTAGAGAGAGAGCTGGCCTGAGCTCAGAGGGAAGCCACAAGAACGCGCCGTTGCCTGTGCCCGGGTGGGAGGCTGCTTGACGGTGGCCTGTGCCCAAGGGGAGCCTGAGCCCCGGGACTAACACGCCGGCACTCTTGGGGGGGTTACCCTAGATACCTGGGGGCACCTCTTGGGAGGACACCACCCTCCCTGGGAGGTGGTGGCTTCGGGATGAGTTTGGGGAAACTATTGACTGTCACTGCACAGGGGACGGGAAGCCCAGTCTCCCCAAGGGTCTGAGGGACCAAGGGGGGGGGACAACGGCAGGGTGGGAGGCAGCGGCAAGCAGGGAGAGAAGGCTGCATGCTGGGGACAAACACAAGGCCTCCTACAAAGCAAGCTGGTTTAAAGCCCACGGTCCGCAGTACTGCCATCTCCCACGTGGGGAGCACATGCTGGAAGCCCTCTCCTAGGGCAGAGGCTGCCCTGGGGCAGGACACCGGGGGCGGCAGCGGCCACTCTGCTCTGGGTCTCGGAGCACATGCGGGAGAAGGAGCCCAGGACAAAACAGAGGCAAACCCGTCTGCCTCTGAGTCCCCCGACTCCAACATCCTGCCCCTAACCCTGTCCTGAGCACCAAGGCACAGCCTGCCTCACCTGAGCCGGCTCTGCTCAAGCCACAGCCATGCTCCAGAGGCTCTGGAGAGTGGCCTGAGCTGGCCCCACATTCCTGGGGGCTCTGTTTATTTGCGTTCACATCAGCAACCCCATCCCTGCTTGGAACACGTAATCGGAACCAGAAGCCTGTTCTGGCAGGCACAGAGGGGTGCAGAGCCCAAGCAGAGGAGCTGGGCAGAGAGCTTCCCTGTTAGCCCCTCCAGATGGGCAGAGACCCCAAGATGCACCTGGGGACCACCAGGCACAGCCCCAACGGAGTCCACTAGGGACGGGGGTGTTAGGGGCCAAGGTACCCCTGAGGCCTGTCTTCCCGCCCCCTCCGCCCTGTACAGCTGACACGGCAGATGCTCCCAAGCTGTGCTCACCAGGGAGCCACGCCCTGTGTCGTCGCACTTCCTATGTGTTGGATTCCCGGAAGGCTGAACCAAACAGATGTGCTCCGGGGTGCTGGCCATGCAGCCCAGGAGGGGCTGGCTGGTGTGTGACCAGTGTCCAGGGCTGGCAGGCATCTCAGGCCCCTTGGGCCACTGTGAGATCTGGCTGTGGATGCACAGCCCAGCAACTTGGCCCAGGGAACAGTCAAAGGCTCGCGCCTGGCTACAGCTGTGCAAATGGGACCAAGCTCAGACTTGAGCAAAGGCCAGGACAGGGGATTTGCCTCCACAAAGGGGACAGAACCTGACTGTGCTCACATAGCCTCACCTGGCCTACCTGCAGACAGACACACACTCAACAACATGCTATTTTCTCTTTCATCTCTGCTGTGATATCAAAACAGTGTTTTCTCAGAGGGAGAGGGTCCCCGCCTGGTGAAGGTTTGTTGATGGATGTGAGCCATCCTGCCCAGGACTTTGACAATCCCACAGGACGTTTGTGCCCTGCTGACCTGGGACTCTTTCCCAGGACCTAACCTAGGTCCCTGCCCATGTCCAAATCAGATGAAACCAACCGTTGTTGGGGGCATTCTGCATTATGGACTGAATGTGCCACCCCACAAATTCGTACATGGAAGCCCTCCCCCCCAGTGTGTGCATATCTGGAACCAGAGTCTTTATGGACATAATTAAACTTAAGTGACGGCATAAGGGTAGGGTCCTGATGAAAAGACTGGAGACTTGAGAGAGCTGCTCAAACCCTGCCATCCCCCTTCTCCTCCCCCACTCTCTTTCTCTCCTCTTCTCTCCCTCCAACATAGCAGGAAGACGGCCGCCTATAAGCAGTCAAGGAGCCCTCACTAGGAATGGAATTGGCTGGCACCTTGATCTGGGACTGCGAGCCTCCAGGACTGTGAGAAAATCGACATCTGTTGTTTAACCTGCCCAGTCTGGCATTTTTCTAAGGCACCAGAGCTGACTGGGACACCTCAACTCTCCAGTCTCCCAATTCTAGGATGCGGCTCCAGCTGGGAACTTGCAGTGTCCCGAAGGGCTGGGCTGCAACACCACCCTCTGCCAGCAGGAGTCGCCACCACACGGGAATCCCATTGAATGGGAGACCTGAGCTCTGTAAAGGAGCTGGAGTCTCCCGGAGGAGGAGAGAGCCCAGCCTGTGACACAGCTGTGCCTGTGTCAGCCTGCTCTCCACCCTCAGGAATGTGGCACTCCTGGCGAAAGGCGCCGCTTGCGTCTGGAGCACATTGGCCAGATTCGGGGTTTGGACCCAGGCACTGGCGCCAAGGGGCAGGCATATCAGGTAGGCCCTTGCCTCTGGGCTGGTGAGCCGAGGGCTGCACCGTAGCAGGGCTGCGCATGTCGGCCAGCCACGTGCCAGCCCGCTTCCACTCAAGCCTCCCAACCCAGTGGTCCAGGGCTGGCTTGGGTGGATCTGGGTCTTGCTGGTCTCATGAGGCTTGGGAACCACTGCCCTCAGATTGGTTGCTGTCCAGATCCAAGCGTGGCCCACCACGTGTGGTCAGTGGTCACCCGCAGCCTTGCCCTCCAGGAAGCGGTCTGTTGGGACAGGGCCAGGATGGCAGGACAGGGGCCATATCCCTGTCTCCCACATTTGGACTCCCGCTCCTGGCCCATTGCCTCAGGCCAGTCCTGCCCTTGAATGGAGCCTCCTTGCTGCCTGGGGACTGGGGGGCACAACTCAGAGACCATGGAAAGGTCCTCCATCACTCACATGGCACAGACCATGACACAGAGCGAGCACCAGGCAAGCACAGCTCCTCAGCATAGGCACAGGCAGTCAAGCACCCAGACGGAGGGACATGCCCGCCACCCCTCCACAGACCCATGCTAGGTGACCCCGAGGCCCAAGCCCTGGCAAGGCCCCTACCCTGGCAAGAACCAGATCCCCCTGCCCAGCGTCCACCTTCTTAGTGGCCAGCTCAGCCCATGCCCCACTGCAGTGGCTGAGACCAACTGGCCAAGGTGAAGGGGGGGTTCCCTGGAGACAAACACCAGAGGTGCTGTCAGCCTTTGAGGGCACCAGGCACTACTGGGGAACAGGGGGCAGCAACTGGACCCAAGCAGATGGAACCATAGGAGGCCAGTCAGAAGGGGCCAGCCTGGGCACCTGGAAGACCCGCTTGGCCCCACTGCCCCCCTGAAGAGTGTCTGACCCCATGGGGTCACATGAACATCATGCTGCTTTAGCTTTCCCAGAGCACTTAGGACCATGTCCTGCTGTCCCTCGATGGTACCCACCAGCCTTGCCCACCAGAAGCCACGTCCCCAGCGGGCCTTGCCCATCTGGTTAGGACAGCAACCTGCTGTCTACCTGGTGCTCGACACCTGCACACTGGGCCAGGTCAGAAGGGGGAAAACGCCAGCCCACCCCAAGGCTTGAGCCCAGGCTTTCCCCACCCTTCCTCCACCTCCACAACAGGCCCAGACTTCACGTAAGCCCTTGATCTGACCTCCCAATGCTCACAGCTTGAACCCGAACGGGGTACCAGCTGCCCTGTATTCCCTGCTCAGCGGTCTCTGGCCGGGCCCCCGTCTGCCCGTCATCCCCAGCCCAGGTCCATGCCCCACCACTGCACCCAGGCCCCCGCTCCCCTCAGCCTGCACCTCTGGGGTTCTGGACTTGGTTAGGCCAAGGCAGGCATCCTTCCATGCCCAGGGTGGTTTCATGGGACATCAAGGGTTGCCAGCTGGGCTCAAGCCAGGCCTCCTCCAGCCCCGAGGCTGGAAAGGCAGACTCCCCTTTGCAACTGCAGCCTGTTTCGGGGTCTGGAGGAACCGGGAAGTCCTGGCAACGCTGCATCTGTGGCTTTGCATGGAGCAGCCCTGAGACAGCCCGGGCGGTCTGCACATTTCTGGCCATGTCCCCAAGACACTGCCAGCAGCAACCTCGCCCCAGGCCCCCATCAAGAAGGTGCCAAGGGACAGACTGGGGTCCCGTGTAGCCCCTCACCACCCTGATGGGGAAACCCAGGCCTGGGGAGGGAGGGGTCCATTGAGGCACACAGCACACTTGTGGTAGAACCAGGCAGACAGGCAGAATGGGAGGGGTCGCCTCGAGCAGTGCTCACATGAGGGCCCATCAGATGCTGGAGGCGGAGACTCAGACAGGGGAAGCCAGGCCACTGGGGATGTGTGCAGACAGCAGAATCCTTCCTAAGGTCATCCCAAAAGCCAAGGGGCAGAGCCCAAGGGGCGGGGGGACGGAGAGCCCACCTCCTCCATGGAGCTGGCCCAGGAAGCCTTGTCCACAGGGACCCTAGTCTGCAGGGACCTGCTGCTGGGCAAGCCAGTGACATCTGAGGTCCCTCAGACAGGTCCTAGGAGTGTTGCTTGACCCAGGGGATGCAAGGGAACAGCCATGTCCGAGGCCAGGGTCACAGGTCAGTCAGGTCAGCATCCCAGACAACAGGACCAGTGTCGTGCTGGCTCAGAGAACCCAGGTTCACGGAGGTGGAGGTCCCAGTGCCAGGTGTTAAATCACCTGCAAGATGTCATGGAAAAAACCTAGAAGGACGCTCAGCCAGACCACTGTCCTGGGCAGGCCCTACCTCCACAGCTGGAGAAGGCCCCTGGGGTGAAAAGCAGGCCTGCACTGACCCTTGGGCCCTGCTCTGCCCACCCCAGAGGCTGGGGGACATGCCCAGGAGGGTGTCCGGGGCAATGCAGAATGCAGCATCCTGGGACTTCTGTGGCCAGGCAGGGAGACAGGGCCTCAGGCACCATGTCTCACAGTGTCCAAGCAATGGCAAAATTCGTTCTGTAAACTCTCACTTTTAAGAATGGAAGACTTAGGGCCAGCATGATGGCTCACATCTGTAATCCCAGCACTTTGGGAGGCTGAGACAGGAGGATCTCTTGGGCCCAGGAGTTCAAGACCAGCCTGGGCAATATAGCAAGACCTCGACCCTACAAAAAAAAAATCAAAAAATTAGCCGGGATTGGTGGCACACACCTATAGTCTCAGCTACCTGGGAGGCTGAGATAAAAGGACCACCGGATCCTGGGAAATCAAGACTGCAGTGAGCTCTGATTGCACCCCTGGGCCACAGTGAGATCCCAACCCCCCCACCCTCCCCAAAAGAACAGAAGCCCTTTTGTTTCATAAATCTGTAAGATCGTCTGGAAGGGAAGGATGTGTGGAGGGGCATTTCCTGCCCTCAGATTGGAGGTGACTTCAAGTGTTTCAAGGTCCCCTCATGTGTTTCAAGGACCCCTCATGTGTAGCCTCCTTGGGGTCTTCCCAAATGGCTCCTAGCCCTGGATGTGTCTATACCCTGAGAGTCCCACCCCTACTGGGAAGGATTGACATGTCCCTGTGGGCACCATCTCCATCCCCAGCCTCTCTAATCCTCACTCCAGACTGGGGTGGGGAGGTGGAAGCCCAAGACAGGCTCAGACCTGCAGGGGCCTGTTCCTTGGCTGCCTGCAAAGCCCCAGGAGAGATCCCAGTGCCCTCCCCCCCAGGAGGGTCCCAACAGGTGCCAGAGGCGCTCTGAGCAGTGCCTCCAGCTGGGCACCTGTCCCACAGCTGGCCCATGGGGGCGGAGGAAGGACTCACTGCTGATCACCTACCGAGGTCTGGGTAAACCAGACAGTGAACCAGACAGTGGCCTCGCCCCTCACTCCCTGGGAGTCCCCTGCTCAAAACCCTCAAAGTGTCCAGGCAGCCTGGCACAGACCAGGTAGTATCCACCACGGGGCCCAGGCCAAGCTGTGGCAGGAGACCCCCCGCAGGGCAACCCTTAGCCAGGACCTGAGATGCCCAGATGTGCTGTCCCCATCCCAGGCCAGCATCTGGTCCAGATAGGTCCCCCGGCAACAAGAAGGGGCTCCAGACAGCAGGGCACCCTGGGACGCCCCAGATCTGCCAAGAAAGAAGCCCCAGGAGACCTCATGTGCTCTCTGGGAGCTTCTCGGGTCCCCACAAGGACTCAGGTGGACAAACCCACACCAGCCCTGCACACTCCCAGGAGACCTGGGAACCACAACATGCTTCAGCTTCCAGATGCATGGAGGGAGATACCCCCACGACAGAGGACATGCAGGACAAAATGCCCTGGGGAGCACAGGTGCCAGGGTGGCCGGGGTGGTGCCAGGCAGGGGTGGCCTGAGAACAAGTCTGACCCTCATTCGGCCCCAGGTTACCACCAGGGGACTCAAGGAAAAGGACCCTAGCCACTAGAGTGTGCCTATCATAGTGAGGGTCACCACCCCTTCCCAGGTGCTGGAACCAGGGCAGCAAGCACCAACCACCTCTCCTGGGGTAAAGGAGGCCTCACAGCAGGAAGCTCGGTGGAATCCTTGCTGGGAGCTACCATCAAAAGCAACAAAAAGTGACAGTCTGAGGTCGCAGCTCTGCACCCAGATTAATACCTGTATAGACAACAGCACTCAGGAGACAGCCTGGCACACAGGCATGTCTCACCTGGGCCTTCTGTGGGGGTTGGCAAGGTGGGTGCCAGCACCCCAGAAGCTGCAGAATCACCTGGGAGCCCCCACTCAAACAGGGTGCATGCTGTTGGGGGTGACAGACTGCAAGGTCCCAGCACCCCTGCCAGGCTGTGCAGACCCACCCAAGGCCCTGGCGTCTGACCCGGAAAAGGCCCTTTAATAGGAGCATGGTCCACAGGCCCAGACTTTGTCCCATGTGTCCCCTGCCCATGGGGGCATCTCCCTCACACATCGGGAGTTCCTGGGCAGACAGTTCCCAGGTCTCCTGGGAGTGTCCAGGACTGGCGTGGGTGTGTCCCTGGCACACAAACTCTGCCCAGGAAAGGCTCCTGGTGGCAAATCCCAGAAAGCCACAGGGCAGTGGGTCCAGCACTGCCAGGGTGGGGTAGGCAGGGGACTCTCCCAGTCGATGGGTCCAGGCTACCCTGAGTAGCCACCGGGTCACTCCAGAGCCCTGCAGTGTACACCTCCCCTCTTCTTCCACCCTGTCCTGTCCCTTTCCAGGGAAGGCCACCATCAGCACAGCTGGTGGACAGGAAGGCTAGGGAGTGAGTGTCCCCGGCCCTGGGGGCCAGATAGAGGGTATGGGGAAATGGGTGCCTCCCCCACCCTAGACTGGTCCCCAGGGCAGCCTTCTCCAAGAAGGCCCACACCTGAGAGGAGGGCTGAGGGGTGGACAGCCCCCCAGAGCCACCTCTTTCAGAGGGCCTGAGGGGACCAGGCGGCCCGAGGCCAAAGGGTCCCTGGTCACGGGCTCCCAGAAGCCCCCCCAGCAGGCAGTGGGCTGGGGCTGCACCCCCACCCTGCTTGCCCTGAAGTACATCACAACATTCCTGCATCTGTTTCTACTTTCCAGCCCAGGGAAACTTTACGGGGCAGCCGCCTGGCTCCCTGCGGTGGCTGGGACGTGTGAGTGTACGCCGGGCCCCCCTGGGGCTGGCGTGCAGCCCCGCCACATCGTCAGCAGAATAGGAAGGAGGCCGCTCGGAGTCAGCCGGATCCCTGCTCTGGGTCTCCAAGGTGGAAAGAAGGGATGTCCCGGTGCCCCCGAGAACGACCTCTCAGGAACCCCAGAGAGGCCAGCAGGAGGGGTCAGCCTTGTCCCTGCCTGAGGCACCTGCATCCGGAGGCCAGCAGCGGGGCACCACAGGGTGTGGCAGTGCTGACTGCTTCTCACCCGGGTTCCTGGGCTCCAACCTCCACCCTCAGCCTGCTCCTGTGCCTTGGGGTCCTGGCGTGCCCCTCCATCCCTTTAGCCCTCCCAGCTGCAGTCACCGTCTGTGTCCCCAGGCCCTCGGTCCCCAGGCCAAGAGACCTGCAGAAGAAGCCGGGGCCCAGTCCCATTTCTCTGTCATCCCTTCCCCGCCTGCCAGAGCCACACCTCCTCCGGGCCTCGAGGCTGAGGTGGGGGCCCCTGAACCTGAGAAGGCTAGCTCTGCAGACCAAGAGCCGCCTCACGCTGCCCCGCCCGGCCAGGCCTCTTCAGCCAGCCTCTCCCAACACCCAGAGAGCAGCCAAGTCTTCCTCAAGTCTGGGGGCAGCGCGGCCAGGCCTGGGCCCTGTTGACTGACCAAAAGAAGCCACCACAAGCCTGGCTGCCACCCTCACTCTGAGTCTGCAGCCCCCATCAGCCAGGCCTGGACACACGGGATGGCCACAGCCAGGAGCCAGGCAGGGTCCCTGGTGACACTCACCCAGGCAGGTCCTGCCATCCGCGTGGAGCCGGAAGCCGGGCTTGCACTCGCAGAGGTAGGAGCCTGGGGTGTTCACGCAGCGGTGCTGGCAGCCGCCGTTGTGGGCTCGGCACTCGTCCACATCTGGGGGGAACAGAACGGGTCAGCAGCCGGGTGCCCACCAGACCCACCCCCAGGTGCTGGGGCCATGAATGCGGGGCCCCACGAGCCCCTCACTCGGCTTGCCAGAGCCAGAGCAGAGGAGGCCGGGCCCATCCTCCTACCACAGCCTCCTGCTTCGGGTGTGGGCCAGAGGTGGGGAACGGCTGAGAAAGGGGCCCGGTTCCTGGCGCCTTTCAAGACAGAACCTGGGCCCAGGCTGATTTTGGAAGTCCAAAGCTAAAAACGTGCTCAGGGCAGTGCCAACTGCTCTACTGGGGCCCATGAGGCCCAAAGGAGAAACAGACAACTTCAGAGAGGACCCTGCCCAGGCTGGGGGGGAACATTGTAGGGGGGGGCGCGTGGTGCTGGCCTAAAGAGCAACCCCCCAAATTCAGGTGCATTGAGAACTTCCGAACATGGACGTGACCTTATCTGGAAACGGTCTTTGCAGACATACTAAGTCAAAGATGGAGACGAGATCGTTCTGGAGAAGGGCAGACCTTGAGTCCAGTGGCAGGTGTCCCGATGACAGACATGGAGGCCACAGGAAGGGAAGGCAGACATGGAAGTAAGGTGGCCACTAGCCACGGATGGCCAGGAAGGAAGAGGCCAGGAGGCCCATCCGCATGGGTTTAGAGGGAGCACAGCCCCTGAAAACTCACTCAGGCTTCTGGCTTCCAAGTAGAGAGACGACATTTCTGTTATCATAAGACACCCAGTTTGCAGTGTTTATCACGGCAGCCCCAGGAAATCGACATCAGTGGGGTCGGCCTGGGGTCTCCACGGACCCACAGGCTCCTCACACAGGAACCCGGGAGGGCAGCTCCGCCACATCCCAGGACAGGAGCCCCCATCTGGGCCTGTACCCTCCCCTGCAAAGTGCTGCCCACCGCCCAGAATCAGCCCAGGCCCCCCAGATCACCCCACCCAAGGGCAAAGGGGGTTTAGAACTATGCTCATCTGCAGTTTCTTATCCCAAGTGCCCCGAGTAAGGGAAGCTGGAGAGAGGAGAAGGACCTGGGGGCAGGCTTCAAATTCAGCAGAGTCCCCTCTCAAAGAGAGAGAAGGGGGATGGGGGACAGATAGCTGGGCAGAGGAGGGAGTCAGGGAGGCCTAGTCTTGAGGCCTCTTGCACTGCCTGGACTTTCTCAGCCTGGGGACAGGCCACAGAGAGCAGGGCGGCAGCCTAAGGCCAAGGACACCCCAAAGGGCCCGCCCACCCCTGCTCATCTGCAGTTTCTTATCCCAAGTGCCCCGAGTAAGGGAAGCTGGAGAGAGGAGAAGGACCTGGGGGCAGGTCCCAGGCATATCACTTCCAAAGGACACCTCCCTCACAGGACACACCACCTGCTCCTACCCCACACTGTGGCTCAGGCCACAGGGAAAGTGCTGATAGGACCGGCCCAAGAGCCCAGCAGACCCCCAGGGGCCAAGCTGAGGGCTGGGGGGCTCCAGAGAGCCTTCCCTTGGGATCCTTCCAGGGCTGAGGCCCTGAGGGCTGCACCCCACACCCCAGACCCCACTACCCCCTTCTGCAGGAACACAGCAGCGGGAGGGTGCAGTGGGAAGGTCCAGCAGGAAGATGGCCTGAGTTGCCAAGACCCCGCTCCTCCCTCCAGGACCAGATCACCAAGCCAGGCCTCAGGGAGTCCAGTGACAAGGCAAACAGAACAGCAGAGAAGTGGGAGGCAACAGGATTCCTGGGACACCTGCTGCACAGCTCCTGGGCTAACCCGGGACAGGAGTCCAGCAGCTGGTAGGCCACTGCCAGCCGGCAGAACACCCAATACACACAGGCTCTCGGAGCCGCCGCGGCGGGAAAGAAACCAGTGGTGGGCACAGACAGGGCTGCACCTACCGGCACTGCACAGAGAACAGTCCATGAGGATCTGGAAGGATTCGAGGGGAGCTCTCCTGGGGGCCTGGGGGCTTCTGAGCACGGCAGTGACTTTGGAAGTGCTAGTAATACCCGGGCCAGAGAACAAGAATAACGTGTGGGCAGCCCCGACCACTGGGAGCCACCAAGAGACACAGGCAGGAGGGCAGCACTCAGGCAAGGACAGAAACGGGAGCCTGGACATGGCGCCAAGTCCATGCCTGCTGCTCAGGCCAGGCGGCACCTCCGATCCTTCAACCTCACCAACCTGACCAACCCCACGGCGGGTTCCTGGTCGAAGAGAGGAAGGGGCCACTGAGGGTCTCATGGAGTGGAGAGACAGACACACAAATGCTCCTTGTGTGGCCAGGATGACAGTGGAGACCTGACTACTGACTGTGTCCCAAGAGGGATGTCCCAAAGTGCCAGCAGAAGATCTCCACTCAGTGTGGCTTGCTGGGAGAAAACGCTGTGATTGCAAGGGTGAGTCCTCCACAGCATGGGATACACGGCTGGCCGGGACGCCTCGCTCCCAGGGCTACGGAGCCGAGGTGCTTCCGACTCTGCTTAACAACCTGCCCAGCCCACAGGATCAGCTGTGACTGCCAGGGCACCCTCTAGCCCCACCCCGACCCCATGAGAACGCTCGCCTTCAGGGTGTCCATCCTAAAACCCCAGTCATCTGAGCTCTGTTGAGGGTGCCGACAGCGAGGCAGCAGAGGGGGAATGCTCTTCACAGCTGTCTGTGAAGACAGACCCCGGCCACCAATCACAGTCTGGCAACGCAGAAGTGACACAGACAGCCCCAGGAGGCCAGAGTCTCTGCCTGGGACTTCGAAGACCACCCAGAGGATCCCAGAGTCCCTCCTCAGCCCCAAGGTTGCCTCAGGGGGAGCCAGCAAATGAGATTAAGGGCCATTGTCTGCTGTGAAGTCACAGAGCCATGGCAGCTTTCCTCAGAGAGAGGCCAGGAAGGCTTGAGGGAAGAAGCCTGAAGACAAAGGCTGAACCGGTCCCCAACTAAGCCCCATTGAGGCTCCAGGAACCCAAGGCCCGAGGATGGGAGAGTCAGCTGGGGGGATAGATCCACCCCCGCTGGATTGTACCCACTGGAGGTGCTCAGGGAGGAGACCCCTTCCCCTGGGCTCAGACCCTTCCAGCCAAGACCTTGAGAGCATCTCCAAAAGGTAACCCTGGGACCACATGGAGCACAGTGCAGGGCATGCGTTGGTTCACAGTAAGCAAGTCCCGATCAGTTCTGTAACATCCCAGCTCTCTGCCGTCACCCTGGCCTCTCCCCAGCCTCCTTGGCTAACCAGGTGGCTGACAGAGCAGCCGTCGGAAAGAGGACTGGAACTCGGAGTCACCTTCAGAGGCCTGAAGGCTGTGTCACCACCTGGCTCCCAGGCCAGTCTGAGAAAGGTGGCCCAGCCTGCAAACAGCTTCCTGGAGCCCAGGAGGAGTGAATGTCCTTGGGCCAGCCCAGGAGCCCTGTTGGCCACAGAGATGCCTCAGGGAAGGACAGTCTGGGAAGAAGCACACAGTGGGCCTGCTGGTTCTCCCTGCTCACACCCACCTCCACATGACTGCCGGCTCCCGTCCCCCTCCTGTTGCATGGACAGGAACATTTGGACCCCAGCATCCCATCCCAGGGCTCAGCCCGGCCTCTCCCAGCCTTGGTTCCCTCCAGAAATTCCATGCCTCCCACACACAAAAGCACAAACCCTTCCGACCCTGGCCAAGCCCTTCCCACCCCTGACGCCACACTGCCTGGCAGTGAGGGGTGGGACTGCCAAGGTGGGGGGAGAGGGCTCCTGACAGCGACCGGGGTGAAGCACTGAGGCACACCACGCCTTCCGGTGCCTGCTGTGTGCTGTCCGCCAGGATCAGCATCTGCACACAGCAGACCAGTTCAAGGCCGAGGGATTTGGGGCCTCCCTTGGGGGACAGAAGCCTGCTTATGGGCGGGGAACCTGGCCAGACGACCCCCTGCCGGGGTCCCCTCCAGCTCTGAGATCTCGGCACTTTGAACAGGGCAAATTCCTTTTCTAGAAATGACTTCCGCCCAGAAAGCAAGGCAGGAGCGAGTTGCCTAAGGCTACCCGCCTACCCCAGGAGTCACACATGACACTGGGCAGAGCTGCTCTCAGATAGTTCCTGGGGCCCTGCAGGTGCCAAGCCCTCAACCCTGGTGTGGCAGTGACCTGAGAATCTGAAGCCTCAAAGAGGGTGTAGTGAGCTGAATAACGTCCCCCAAAGATGCCGTGTCTTCATCCCAAAACCTGCCACGGCAAAAGGGCCCTTGCAGATGGCAGGAAGGATCTCAGGATGGGAGGGTGCCCTGGTGTACCCGGTGACCGCAGGTCCTTATAAGAGGGAGGCCAGAAGGCCAGAGTCAGGAGATGAAACATGATGAAAGACGCAGTCAAGGAGGGGAAGAGGCCACGCTGCAGGCTGTGGGGGCGGAGGGGACACAAGCCCAGGATGCAGGCAGCTTCCACGGCTCGAAGGGGCAAGAAACCGCCTCTCCCTGGGGTCTCCAGCAGGAACCAGCCCACCCACACCTCGACTCTGGCCCACTTCAGTCTCTGACCTCCAGAACTGTCAGGTGATGGATCCAGGTTATTTGAAGTCACTGTGTGGTGATTTGTTACAGCAGCCACAGAACTGGACATGGAGCACATCACTATGTCTCAGGAATCAGAGAGACTCAGACCGTCCAAGCTGGAAGTCCGGGGCTCCCAACCGGCTAGGCCAGGCCGGCCTCCTGACTCAGAGACCTTCGGAGACTCAGTGTCCCTTGGAGACTGGTTGCATGGCCTGACTGACTGGTTGCATGGCCGTCTGCCCCTCTGGAAGCTGGACTCCCCGGGTCCCTCCTCCCATAGGCCTGTGCCTGAGGCCAGGACCTGCTGTCCACACACAGGAGGGGCTGGAGGGGTCACACGGAGCCTTGAAGTGGGTCAGAATCCCGACACACCCCAGAGAGCAGTGTTCCGACGCAGCCCAGGCACCCGAGACTCTGAAACTCCGGCAGAACGGCCGCTGTCCTGAGCATGCACAAGGGGCTTGACCCCCAGGTGGTGTAGGTGCCCCAGGGAAGAAG